AACATAAATAACGACTTTATTCCACTATTCCATTACTTCCTTATGGGCGCATGCGCGAGAACTGAGACGAGGACGTTCTCATTCGTCTACTTCTTGTTACCGGCTGCTCACCGCTTAGGAGTTTTACCGCCCCCTACCGTATAAGATGATGTGCTGATATAGCTGGAAGCGCAAAACTTTCTGTTTACAAGCAGAGGAAGATGCGCGCTGTACATTCGCTTTTCAATTAGCGTATTTTCCGCACTATAAGGTGCACTTAAAAGCCTTTAATCTTCTCAAAAAACGACAGTGTTCCTTATAATCCAGAGCGCCTTATATATGGATCATCATTTTATACGGTAGGTGGCGGTAAAACTCCTAAGCGGTGAGCAGCCGGTAACAAGAAGTAGACGAATGAGAACGTCGTCATCTCAGTTCTCGCGCATGCGCCCATAAGGAAGTAATGGGATAGTCGAATAAAGTCGTTATTTATGTTTTTTTCGCACAAAAAGTAGTCTCGTCACTTGATAAACTTATAATTGAGCCGCTGTAGTCACATGGAATATTTAAACCTTTTCTTTAATGACTTTATGGGCCGTCAAGAGCCAGTCCCTTAGGCAGTCTATGAAGGAGTGATCCAGCTCTCAGATTCAATCAAAAATATCTTCACTTGTGTTCCGAAGATGAACGAAGGTCTAATGCTACGTTCACACCGGACGCGAATCGCGCGTCAAATTCGCGCCTGACGCGTCTAGTTTGACGCTTGACCACTTTGTGTTAATTTGCGTGTCAAGAGCGAAACTGGCGCGCGTAAAAACAAAAGTTTGAAGCGAAATTTACGCGCGTGACGCGCGTCAGAATCGAAATCCGTTGGCGGCCATTGTTTTTATGTCGACCGAGCATTCATCAAGAGTTACCGCTCTGTATTTACTCTGGAGAGCAGAACAACGGCGTGGGGATCATCGTCGCCGTATATTTGTGTCCACCGGACCCTTCAGAGCCGAACCGTTTGGCGAGTTTCACCATTTGCTCGCTCCAGGAGCTGCGCTGGATGACGGCCATTGTCAGCGGTACTTCCGTCTGTCCCGCGCCCAGTTTGATGACCTGTTGTCCCGCATCTGAGCGAGGATCACCCTCGCCCTCATCCATCTAATCTAGCTGTCATTTATTTTTTGTTTTGATGATAAATAGAGCCAGCCTTCAAAAGTTATTAACCTGTCCTGTGATTTTTTTCTCTCTCTCACGTCCAGACACGAATTTATGCACATATGTTGATTGTCTTTACAACATAATACTATTTCATATAATCTAGCTATGGAATGAATAACATTCAATACAAAATGAACATGTCTCGTATATAGAAATAATGTTTTAAGTGATAAAACATTTGCTTTGTTGTGCATAATCCCACCATGCATTTAGTCATAACAAAATAATTTATTGAAGCATCCAGACACTTCACCACGTGAGCAAGCAGCTAGGCCCCTGATTGGTTAACGCGGCGCGAATTCACGCCAAAGTTCAGATTTTTCAACTCGAGCGGCAGACGCGAATTCGCGTCAAACGCGTGAATGCACAAATGGCACTATTCGCGCTTAACGCGCCAGACTCTCAATTCGCGCGAACTTGACGCGCGAATGAGGCGTATTCGCGTCTTCCGCGCCTCGCTCCACGCCTCATTCGCGCCGCAGGAATTTTTCACGCGCGTAAAGCGTCTTTGCATTGACTTAACATTGAAATCATTCGCGCCTGACGCGCTATTCGCGTCCGGTGTGAACGTAGCATTAAGGGGTTGGTACAGCATGGGGGTGAGTAATTAATGACTTAATTTTCATTTTTGGGTGAACTAACCCTTTAAGGTTGAACCACTGACTATTTTAACAATGTCTTTACTACCTTTCTGGGCCTTGAAAGTTGCAGTGACGTTTCTGCAATGGGTGGTTTAGAAACCTGTCGGATTTCATCGAAAGTTGTGTTCTGAAGGTGAACGAAAGTCTTAGGGGTTTGGAATGACATGAGGGTAAGTAAATAATGACCGAATTTCATTTTTGGATAAATTAATCCTTTAACGTGAAACTTTGTGAGTTAATGTTCATATTGCTTCATCTGCTTGTCTATATTAGGTTTTATTAATAAGGTGTATACTGAATTTGATCAATGTCTTGTTACATTAGTACTTGTACAAACCTGGTAAAACTAACTAGCAGGCAGCAGAGGAAAGCTTTGTTTTGTCCTCTACGTGGGCGTTCTTATAGAGGTATTATTGTAGGTCACATGAAATCTAGAGCTATATATACCAAATTCTTTCAGTCTTTGATGAATGCTTAATTACAGTATAGCTCTTAACCTCATGAACAGTGTGTGTGCCAGCGGGGGAGATCTTCATTAGTTGACGGGAAATTGGGACATAGTGCACTAATTTTCCACAAGCGTTTCTAGTAAACCATCAACAACCAGCTTTTTCCTCTGTTTATCATTAAAACTGGTCTGGCATTTATAACTTCCTACAGCAGAAAGACTCCTCTCACCGCTCTACCTCGGGGTGTGTGTGTTTGTCATGTTGATGGTAAAGTCCGTCATTGCAGACACGGAGACTTGATATGAGAATCAAATAATGTTATACATTTATTTTCTGCAACGTTGTCCTACACAATGGCATCAAAACAAGCTTTTTACGATCGTCTTCTGAGGCTGCAAAATAACAAATTCAATGGAGGGCATTTTGCCAGTCAATGTTACGGTTATTTTGCGATCTCTGAGAGAAGAGTTTCAAGAGTTTCGAACACAAAGCCGTAGTGTTTTCAGCATGAGGGGAGCAACGTGCCTGTTTATTATTTGTGCCACATTTTGTAATGAAATATCAATGACCTAATTTACTAATTCCCAGCCAAATTTGACTTTTGCAACACTTTAGTTTAGGATCCAAATCTCACCATTAACTAGTTGCTTATTAGCATGCATATTACTAGGATATTGGCTTTTTATTAATACTTTAAAGCACATATTAATGCCTTATTCTGCATGATCATATTCTACATCGCTTATTCCTACCAATACCTAAGCTTAACAACTATCTTACTAACTATTAATAAACAGTAATTAGGAGTTTATTGAGGCAAAAGTCGAAGTTAATAGTTATTTGATTGTGAGAATTGGACGCTAAAAGCTAAAGTGTTACCTTTCAAAGGGTTTTCATTCATAATTGGTCTGAAATCGAGGTAAACAGAATAGTCATATTGGATCTCGAGCTTGAGATACGTCATGATACGCAAAATCTAATTTTCCAATTTTCTGTCCTCTCTCTCCACATGCTACTTTGTGTATTGTATGGAAATAATCTCTTTGCATTGTGCTGATGCTTACACAGTCACTGTTACTATAGCAACCCATGCATATCACCTCATATTGACAAGACTGTCTGAAGAAACAGATCCAGTTTCATTACTTTCAAAATTACAGTGCAGACAGTGTGTCCTTAATACTAAATTGAAAAGCTGCTGTGTACAGTGTGAACAAAGCCATAGAGAATCAAAAATAATAATATGCAACCACATAGCAATGCCCTGGAAACTTCCCAGAGTACCCTAGCAACAGCATATGATAAAACCCCACAAGAACATGTGAACCCTGCTTAGCAACGCCCTGGCAACTACTCAGAGCACCCTAGCAACTGCATTTGCTAAAACCCTGAAATAACATGTTAGCCTTGCTTGGCAAGGCCCTGGCAACTACCCAGAGTACCCTAGCAACTGCATATGATAAAACCCCACAAGAACATGTGAACCCTGCTTAGCAACGCCCTGGCAACTACCCAGAGCAACCTAGCAACTGCATATGCTAAAACCCCACAATAGCATGTTAACCCGGCTTAGCAACGCCCTGGCAACTAGAGATCCATAGCAGCTTCATATGCTAAACCCCACAAGAACATGTTAACCCCACTTAGCAACACCCTGGCAACTACCTATAGATCCCTAGCACATGCTAAAACCCCACAAGAATGTTAACCCAGCTTAGCAACGCCCTGGCAACTACCTAGAGATCCCTAGTAAACTGCATATGCTAAAACCCCACAATAGCATGTTAACCCAGCTTAGCAACACCCTGGCAACTACCTATAGATCCCTAGCACATGCTAAAACCCCACAAGAATGTTAACCCAGCTTAGCAACGCCCTGGCAACTACCTAGAGATCCCTAGTAAACTGCATATGCTAAAACCCCACAATAGCATGTTAACCCGGCTTAGCAACACCCTGGCAACTACCTAGAGATCCCTAGCAACTGCACATGCTAAAACCCCACAAGAACATGTTAACCCAGCTTAGCAACGCCCTGGCAACTACCTAGAGATCCATAGTAAACTGCATATGCTAAAACCCCACAATAGCATGTTAACCTGGCTTAGCAACACCCTGGCAATTAGAGATCCATAGCAACTTGATATGCTAAACCCCACAAGAACATGTTAACCCCACTTAACAACATCCTGGCAACTACCTAGAGATCCCTAGCAATTGCACATGCTAAAACGCAACAAGAACACGTTAACCCGGCTTAGCAACGCCCTGGCAACTACCTAGAGATCCCTAGTAAACTGCATGCTAAAACCCACAAGAACATGTTAACACTACATTGCAATGCCCTGGCAACCACATAGCAACCCAGAGCAAGTATTACAAACTCTAAAATTTTAGTACTGAATAGCAATGGCCTGATACACCTTAACAACACTCAAAACATGTTATTCACCATATAACCACACCTTGACAACCGTTTAGAACACCCAAACAACTGCATAACAATACCCCCCCCCCCCCATTAATACCCCGGCAACCTCCACGAACATCCTGATGTCCTATCCACTACATAGCAACACCTTGACAGTCCCCCATAACATGTAAGCTGCTTCATAGCAACACCCCGACAACAGGACAAACCATACCATAGCACATTTTCTTCATAAAAGGTTACATTTAAATTCTAAAATACTTTTTTTTCTGTCCTATCTTTCTCACTCAGGGTCGCTGTATGAACTTCACCCGAATCAAGTCTAATCCTCCTCCACGGTATCCATCCTACAACCACCATTCTTCACCCATCTACACCCTCAACCCACCCCCTCCTCAGGGCCAGCTGCCCCCTCCTCCACGCAGTCCACCGGACTCCCTATCCTCCAGTTTTCCTCCGGTACCTTCCACCCCTCCTCCTCTCACCATCAACCCATCTCCACCCATTACTCCCCCTCCATCCTATTCTCCACCCCCCGTCTGGTCTTCATCCCCTACCACCCTCTTCTTTTCCCCACCCACATCTCTGGCCTCTCTTCCACCATCACCTACTTCCTCCCTGCCCCCACCCCCTCAAGCCCCACCTCCAGGCAGAGCTCCTCCTCCAGATCGTCCACCTCCACGGCCCTGTGTTTAATGTGATTGGACTACTATGAGGGCCTAAAGATGAAGACTGGAAGCAAACAGGAAATTTACATTTTCCACACCCTCCTCAAGATTCCGTTGCTGTGTGGGCTAACGCAATAAAACATGGCTCACCTGTGGCATCAAGGGCATTCGCTCCCTGAAATGAACAATGAAATGGAACACAAGCCTCCGTGAAACTCTAAAGGGAGAAACACTCAGAATCACACACACTAGGCATCGCAAAGAAACAGAAAATTCACGTTCGAAGCTCCTTTTTCTCAGCAAGAGTGATTTGTGAGTTTAACCAAGCTTCGAGAATGGAAGCGGCTGGTTCTATTAATGGAGTCATGGATGTTTCACAATTGCATGCGCATGGGACCATCTCATAAAGCAGGTTTCCACAAAAGAGGAAAGCTGAAACAAAATAACCTTTCAGGAGCTTTCTTGTTCAGAACAGTTGAGAAAATATATGCACTTTTGTAACTAGTGTGACGATATACAGGTCAACTTCCTTAAAAGGCAAAACTAAACATTGGGTCTCATTCGCCAACATGACATCATGACTTTTGCGTAAACGAGTCAAGTGGCGTGTTATCTCTACGCATTTTGAGCTATCCGCGTGTATGCGTGTATGTCTACGCCATTAACGTCCGAGTGATTCCGCGTGTCTGTACACGCCGTCAAATGTCAGCGCGAAACGAAGCAAAATGTAGATCTACATCTGGGGAGCGATCTCTTTTTTTCATAGGATGGTAAGGGAACAGTCATAAATGCCATTAACCCCAGTGACGGGTACGTTTAGGGACGGGGTTGAGGTAAGTCATATATTTATATATACAGTAATAACTTTAAGTCAACGGCGTTCATAAACACGCTGAAAAGCGATTATGCGTCTTGTTAGCACGCCAAAAATGGAAATACGAATTGGCGTGTCATACACACGCTACTTCATGAGATCAGTCTGCATTCGCTATAAATTGCATCGGAAAACTTTGCGCAAAATTTTTATCCAGATTCACAATAGGTGCGTATGCTATGCACACAGATTTTCTAATGTTAGTGATTTGAAGTATTCTAAGGCTGTGTGTCCACTAAAGCATTTTTCAATTGTTTTCAATGGGAGCGCCACGTTTTTTAAACGCCACGACCGTAACGAGGCGCTGAGTGTTTTTTCACGCTGAAGTACCCAGCTTTTTTACTGGTCATCAAAATGTTCAACGTAGTGATGAGCGCTGCGTTTTATCCAGTCAATTTTTACCCAGCCGTCCAATCAAAGTGGAGGAGGGGCGGGACTAAACCACACCGACCAACTGTCACAAAATTCTTTCTGTACAACGGCATCAACTGGAAGAGCTAACCCAACAAAATGGATGAAAAATACATTTGTAGTATGAAACAAATTATTTGCGAAATCAGTTACAAGTAAACTGTGTTGTGGATATTCTGTATCATAGCAACGAAACGTCTCAACGGAAAAAAAAACGCTGCGCTGCCAAAACGCCCAAAACACGGCGTCTTCAACTGGCTAAAAATGCTTTGGTGGACACACGGAATAAATGAAAGACTGCAATCCCCAACTGTAATTTGCATAAACACGCCCATCTCCATATAAGGGTTTGTGCACAATGTAAGCATGCAGCGTACATGTGACTTCAGTTGGTAAATTTAGAATATTTTTTTAATGGCAACATATTAATGAATCACGATTTGTATGTGAACATTTTTGTACACTGATTTTACCTGCAAATATGCACATATGTGCGGTTAGAATGATGCCCCATTGTGGCTGAATCATTCTTGATGTGTTTTTTTTATTCTAGCGATGGTGAAAAAAAAAACGTTTTCTTTCAAACTAAATGCAGTTGCAAAATTGAAACACTTTACAAACACTTTTTGATTAAATGCTTTGCTAAAACTGTTGCTCATTCAGGTAATTGACATTTATTATTTTGTGCAATAGTGATTTTAGTGGCTTTGTTGGGGGTTGGGTATGTTGCTTTTCGGTCTTTGAATTTATTAACAAAGTACCAGATCATGATGAATTAAAAGGATGGTGTACTCAAACATTTTTGGGTCAACTATTAACTTTAGGATGATGTCGAAGAGACTAAGATGTTTATCGGGACGGACTTGAAACAACAGAAAAATCTGAAATGTATGTAAACTATAAGCAACGTCACCTTACTTTTTGCACATGTCACAGTTGTAATGGTGTATGGGTGCATCATTTAAAAATAGTACGAATTATCATACATGTACACATGCTGTATGTATAAAACTCTGTAGTCCTGTGTAGTTTTCTTTTTAGTTATTATTATTGTGGCATGATTGCAATTTCAAATAATGTAGAGGCAAAACAAAAGAGGACACGGTTTCCAAGTATAGACTTCTAAGGCCTCTGTGTTTTATCCACCATGAATAACCACAGGGGAAGATTACAAATAGCTTTTCACATTGGAAATTATTTCTGCCAAAAAAACCAACGCATTTGATATACGAGTTTGTTTTTGTTCATAATTACATGCTGTATATATTATTGTCATAATGCATCACAGTGTCATATTTCACAGTCATTTGCTTCTAAAGAGTTCTTGTCATTTTCCGTTATACTCCGAGTCTAAGTTATTGCTGTCCCTAAGATGCCAGTGTTGTTTATAGAACTCCAAAACCCTGTTATGATGATGGTTTTATGGGTAATTTACATAAAATAAATCACATATGTCCATATTAAATCATATATCATTTTCAATGAAATCATGTAAATCAATCACTCTCCAAATGACTCTGATCATGAATACACTATTTTTGTATTTTTTTCTTCTTTTTTTACGTTCTATTGTTTTGAATAAAATGTTGTCATAAAAGTCATATACTGGTCCTGCATGCGTTTCATGGATGGTGTGTGCCTGTTGTTTTCATCAATAGAGAACAACAGGCCTTAAAATCTTATTGGTCAATCTCATTCTACAGTCTGAAGTCATATTTAAGGGAGTGCCATCTTAAAAATGGTTTTACCACATGGTAAGCTTTTTCTTACAATGTTTATTAATGTGAATAGTTCAACTCTGTTATAGAAAAAACACATCACATTTACAGAATTGTCTTCTTTTTTTTTTTTTTTTTTTTGCTTGGCACAAAGCACCAGAAGCTGACTATAAATCACGTGGTCATCGGATGTTTTAAAAGGACATTGGTTGCACTTTATTTTAAAGTACATGCACTTTCAATGTATTTACAGTTACAAAATACTGTCATTACTACAATAAATACAAAGTATGTACAAGCGAAACGGGACTGTAAAATAAAGTGCTGCCAGGACATTTATTAAACGTTCTTGGACTGACTTTCAACATGGTTCATCTTTAGGTGATCTTAAGTCTTTGATACAAAGGATTTCTTCCTTTACCGTGTTTTCCGTCCAACATTTCCGGGAGCTCGGCCTCCTCTCCTGAACCGGTTCCCTTTCGTCCAGGTATAATTTAGTCCAGAGTCGGCTCTGTCAACATCTGCACAGAAAGCTGGCGTCTCATGAGACGGAGACTATAAACCACTCTCGCCATCATGGATGTGTCCAATTTCAAAAGCCAGTTTTATTCAGTGAAATAAGCACAAGCGCAGCGAGGTTTGGCGTAACATGTTTCAAGAGCAGCCAAAGATAAGCAAATGAAATTATGCTGGAAAAATAAATTGGGATAAGTATGCATTTTCTCCAGCAGTGCAGTGGGACCTGTGTAACCCGTTTTGTTCAGATCTATTACAAAAATCGAATGTGATGTTCTGTATAGATGGTGTTAATTCACGTCTTTGACCCTGATCCTGTTTAACGTTTGGTTTCACCATTATCCCATTGTTCCCTCTCCCTGGAATTTAAGTACGAGTCTTGGATATGATTCTCATATTTTATTGCATTCATTTTTATCCCCTAATTTATTGAACAACATGATTGCGATAGTCTTTTCGAGTGAAATGGCTTCTTGAACAAGAAACGTACAGTAGGATGGGACTTTATTTTAAAAAGATGTGCACGGACAAACCTTTCCAGAAATAGTGGGTAAATGTATGTTTTTTTGGGTGGGTAAATGTATGAGTTTTTTTTTTTCAGATCTTTCTAATGGACAAAATAAGCACACCCGGAGATGACGGAAAAACAGAGCAGCTTTTGTTTCAGCTCTGAAATAATTCATTTCTGCATCTTTTGCGGCTGTTCGAACACACTCAATTGCATGTGTTTACACTCAGAAAGCAATGAGTCTGGCTACTTCTGGAAGTGGTCAAAAAAGTATTTTAGACCCGTTTACACCTGTATTACTGTCATCCATACTGTCACACACATCTAGGGCCTTATTTTAACGATCCAAGCACACACTCTTAGAAGAAATGGTTCTATTTAGAACCAGAAATGGTTCCATCCCCCACTTTATATATGGAACTCCAAAATGGTTCTATATAGAACCATTTATTTGGTATAAGGTTCTATTGGCCAAGTATGGAACCCCAGGGTTCTATATAGAACCCAGAGGAACCCCTTTTTAAGAGTGTAAAGAACATTTTAGGGGTTCCAAATACGTAGCGCTGATAGAACCTTTTAAGGTTCTATATAGAACCTTTTCTTCTAAGAGTGCATGGTCTAAAGTGCACTAAAGTGGTTGCCCCTATTCTCTTAATGGGTGTGTTTTGGGCATAACGTGCAAAAAAAACTATCAGAGTCTCATCTCCCATTCCTCTTGAAAGCTGTTGCACTTATCCATGGCGGATTCACTATTTACATGATGGAATTTACAAGTGGAAAAACCTGGAGTAAATGCTCTTCCGGTCCGTAAACATTAACAACAATCCAGACCGGCTTTCAGTCAGTAGTCTGCTTAATCGCACACAAAGATTGATGATTCGGCTTGTTTTGGAACTATTGGCAGAGAAAAAATAGACAAACTAATGGCGCTTTTCCACTACACAGTACCAGCTCGACTCGCCTTGGTTTGGTTTTTCACTGTGTAAAGGTTGTACCTGTACGTGCTTTCGGGTACTTTTTTTGTCTCAAGGTTCTGAGTGAGCTGAGGTGATACTAAATGTAACGTAAAAACAATGCCTACTGCTGATTGGTCAGAGAGAATCGTCACTATTCAACGCGTCATCATTGCACGCGCCAGATGGAGTATCCAGAATAACCCCGCTTTTGAACTAACTATTATTATGGCAACTCGGAAGAGTACGCCGTGGTCAAATGAGGGGGTGCCGACTTTCCTTTGTTTGGTTGCCAAAGAGAGGATCCAGCGAGAGCTTGTTGGTGCAACAAGAAACGAAAGGCGTCACTATGACGACCGGGTACTATTTGTGGTGGCGGTACTGTCTGCAATGGAAAACGGAGTGAAAAGCGAGCTGGTACTGGTAATGGAAAAGCGCCATAACTGGCCAAATATGGTCCAAAACTCAACCCAGATAGCAAACTGACATTGAATCAACGTGGAAATATGACATCGAATTAACGTTGAACCAACGTCAACCGCGTCATTCTTTCAAAACTAACGGAAAATCAACTTGAAATCAACGCTTGTTTCAACGTTATGAAAGCAAACCAATTTTCGATTTTCATTTAGCTTTGAAGAATGCCGCGTCTGACGTTGGTTCAACGTTAATTCGATGAGCAAAATCAACGTTATTTCAATGTCATGAGAGACGTCGTTTCCACGTTGATTCAATGTCATTTGCTGTCTGGGAAGTCATTAACCTCCTGTTTGTGGAATTGGTGTATAAAAACATTACCACAGTCGATCACACTATGAATCTGAATATCAGCACAAAAGCAATCTTGCTTGTGATAATGTTGGCGTTATAGAAACACAGTTTCAGAAATGTTTTGATAAGCCAAATTTTGTCTGGCGTATTCTCACTGGAAAACTTTTTGATTATTATCTTTTCGATGCTGATTTTAATCAATTATTACTTAAAATCTAACAAGGCCACTGTAATATTTACATTTATGTTCCTGGCAGAGGCTGCACCCAAAAGAAAACTAGTTGTGGCTGGATAAACAGTGAATTTAAACACACAATGGAGTTAAAGTGAGCTCAGACTTGGCAGTAAACTGACATTTTACCCAAACTGACCATATACAAAGTGGCTGGCATGCCAGTGGTGTGTTCCTGTGAGTGACAGGCCATTGTTGGTTGGTTTTCTTTACACATTCGGTGAAGTGTGGGTTTAGCATCACACTCCCTGACCCACTTTCTGCTCTAGCCAATAAAGCAATCCAGTCATCAACAACGACGACGACACACACTTTCAATCTATCCACACTGTCAAGATCCTTTGAGTCAGAGCATAAACGTTTCTCTGCTTTTCAAAGGACAAACAGCTCATGTCATCAAAACTCTGGTTACTATTTGGCATCAAATGAGGGGGAAATAGAGTTAGTCTATCATAGAACATCATAACACTTAACCAAAAGTTAGCACAGCAATTTTTTTTTACCCTTTTTGAAAATAACATGACTTTCAATAAAAGTGTGACAGACATGGAGAACTCGGTTACTAAAGATAATGTTAAAACAAAACAAAAAGGTCAAGTAAATTATTACTAAATTATGGGAACTATATTATCGATAACTAAACCACCATCTGGTCCCCAACTACAGCTTTATACTAAATTATATAAAAAATGTGACGTATAAAAGTTATTCTATAATTTAGGATACATTTCACTTCAGGCAAAAAAAAAAATGATATGCATTCTCAATAAAACAACTATTTTATCAGTCTAGACGTATCTGCTAGTTGCAAAGCTTACTCATTAAAAAAAACAATTATCTGTTGAATGCCATATGCAGTGTGATTACCTCTAAGAAGTTATCTGAGGATGTTTGTGTAAAACTCTCAGCAAAGTCACTAAGGACAAGAATATACACTCACCTAAAAGATTATTAGGAACACCATACTAATACCGAGTTTGACCCCCTTCAGAACTGCCTTAATTCTACGTGGCATTGATTCAACAAGGTGCTGAAAGCATTCTTTAGAAATGTTGGCCCATATTGATAGGATAGCATCTTGCAGTTGACGGAGATTTGTGGGATGCACATCCAGGGCACGAAGCTCCCGTTCCACCACATCCCAAAGATGATCTATTGGGTTGAGATCTGGTGACTGTGGGGCCCATTTTAGTACAGTCAACTCATTGTCATGAAACCAATTTGAAATGTGACATGGTGCATTATCCTGCTGGAAGTAGCCATCAGAGGATGGGTACATGGTGGCCATAAAGGGATGGACATGGTCAGAAACAATGCTCAAGTAGGTTGTGGCATTTAAACGATGCCCAATTGGCACTAAGGGGCCTAAAGTGTGCCAAGAAAACATCCCCCACACCATTACACCACCACCACCAGCCTGCACAGTGGGAACAAGGCATGATGGATCCATGTTCTCATTCTGTTTACGCCAAATTCTGACTCTACCATCTGAATGTCTCAACAGAAATCGAGACTCATCAGACCAGGGAACATTTTTCCAGTCTTCAACTGTCCAATTTTGGTGAGCTCTTGCAAATTGTAGCCTCTTTTTCCTATTTGTAATGGAGGTGAGTGGTACCCGGTGGGGTCTTCTGCTGTTGTAGCCCATCCGCCTCAAGGTTGTGCGTGTTGTGGCTTCACAAATGCTTTGCTGCATACCTCGGTTGTAACGAGTGGTTATTTCAGTCAAAGTTGCTCTTCTATCAGCTTGAATCAGTCGGCCCATTCTCCTCTGACCTCTAGCATCAACAAGGCATTTTCTCCCACAGGACTGCCGCATACTGGATGTTTTTCCCTTTGTCTGGCACCAACAACCATGCCACGCTCAAAATTGCTTAAATCCCCTTTCTTTCCCTTTTCTTTCTGACATTCAGTTTGGAGTTTAGGAGATTGTCTTGACCAGGATCACACCCCTAAATGCATTGAAGCAACTGCCATGTGATTGGTTGATTCGATAATTGCATTAATGAGAAACTGAACAGGTGTTCCAAATAATCCTTCAGGTGAGTGTATAATAACTTATCATAAATCTCCTTCAGTTGATAGTTTTAAGAATATCAAGCAAAACACCAGACTGTGTGGATGTAAACTATACCCTAATATCAAAATCAGCAGTCTATATATTTAAAATGTTTAAAAAAAAATCACCCAAAACATATTTGATAAAGACAGTAACATAGTTGACGCAAGTAACATAGTTGACATTGTTATAATGACACCTAAATCATGTATATTTGACAATGTCCTGTTTCAACTGGCAAATAAACACTATAAAGGTATTTTAGTAAATTTTGTGTAATATCCCTTGATCCTTCCTCATCTTGATTCACATAAACACATTCTCTCTCTCTCTCTCTCTCTCTCTCTCTCTCTCTCTCTCTCTCTCTCACACACACACACACACACACATCTCCTCTGACACATATAGGGTTTTCCTCAATTTCAAAGGCAGGCCTTGCCTGGCCAACCAGAAGTTATTGTCTTCATCAGGTTAACCTCGCATTTGAATATTATTTTAAAATAAAAATCATAAAAAATATAGCAAAACTAAATCAATGTACCCAACACACTGTAGTTGACAGGTAATTATTACACTCCTTGACAATAGGTCACTGGAGATAAACTATAGAAAATTAGGAGGATATTTTCCATGTGATATTTTTCATGATGCTGGTCATTTGGTTTTGGGATAAACATTTTCATTTCTTTTTTTCAGGGGGTGTTTGGTTAGTTACAGTTGACAGATTTTTTGTGGAAATTAATACAATGAAATATATATATATATATATATATATACACAAAATCATTGTATACATTTAATGTGTATTGGCTGTTTGGTAACATGACTGCAAAATTACAGACCTTACATAATGTGAAAAATGAAAACTCACCTCCCTGAAAGACAAGAGTTGCATGCCCTATTTTTATCCTATTCCTGGAAAGTTTTCTTGTTTTTCCCCACTGTAAGACAAACAAGTCAAAGTTGAATGAATGCAACCAGAGTTAGAAAGACTGAACGTTTTATTAACTATTTTGATCATCATTTTAAATCTTGTACACACTGCCCAAACACATTGTGACATGCGTTTACCCCACAAAAATCATATTTAAGATGCTCTTGTAAAATCTAAAAGCAATGCAAAGAGCAATGCCAGTATTTTAGCCTGGGAAATACTTAAACCCCTTTAGCTGGCATAATTTACAAGTTTAGTTTCAGAGTGCAATAAAAAATATAAGCACATAACTGTAATTTTGCCTTCATAATTATTGCCCCATATGACCCTTCATCATCCTTTGGTTACATATTGGTTGCACTTTATGTTACATTACTTACCTAAGACAAGTACTGTGACACATGGGTTAAGGTTAGGTTTAGGTTCATGGTTAATACCTAGTTATTGTAATATGAATATGGGGAAAAGGACTTTCAAATAAAGCGCTCCCAAGACATTTTTGGTTAATGCTTTGAACAGAAGTTTCAGATGATATAATCTTTATTCATGTTGATTTAATGCACAACATATTAATGTAATCATGAAATTTAAAAATCACAAATGAGGTACGCAAGCATTTTAATCCCAAATAAAGTAGTATATAAAATATAACCCTTTTATACCCAATAAAAACAAAAACATAAGTGAAAGACAGAAGTAAACAAAATGGTCCCATGGAAACGATCAAAACTGACGGTGGCGTTGTATGAGGCGGCCGTTATGAAACACATACTTCATGTTCTCGCTTTCTCGTCTATGTCCTTTGGCAACACTACTGTAAACCGGAGACACACTCGCAGTCTCCTTTGTAACAAGGCCTCTGAATCTCCCAAAATAAAGGAATCAGAGAATAGAAGCCATTCATAAATTTCAAGCACACGACTAAAGTGTTAATCTCAGTAACTGATTATAAATATCACACTCATACAGTAACTCCAGATACAGTGTTGCGTCACCAAACGCAGTGATTCAATACTAATATCTGGGTTTAAAACATCCTTTTTTGAGAGAACCAATAGGACTATTAGCATTTGGTACTTCAAATACTACAATATTCAAACATTTCGTTCTCTTCATCAAGGCCAGTGTGCGAAATCACACCTAACATGAACAAAAGCACATAGAAACTTCATTAAAATGTCGCCACATACCGTAAATCAGATCATACATTCACGTCATATTTGACCCTTCGTGCACATGCATCTACAGGGGTTGTAGTCATTTTACCTTCCTTTCCAGCTAGAATTTCATTCATTTCTTTGCAACTAGAATGAAGAAATCAGTAAAGATAATAAACATATGTATTCTAGGGTAACAGAAAATGTTTACATTTGCATGCTCCATTAAGCATCATGAACATATTTTATAGCGATTTATTCATCTAGGTTCATTTTAAGATATAAATATACTATTCCTTGTTCATAATACATTAATGTTAACTTATACATCTTTTAATTGTAAACAATTGTATTAATATAGATAAAAATAAATATGAACCAAGATTAATGAACGCTAATAAAAGTACTGAATCTTATTGTAAAGAATTAGCCTACCTGTACTATTTTACCAACCATGAAAGTTATGCTTATTGAGAAGACATGATCTCGAGACTGAACTCTAATATCCAATTCAGATAAAAGCACAAATGTACCAAAGGAGGGTAACTATGGAATTCCCAAATGATCAGAGGTCATCCCGGGACAAATATGCTCATCAGTAACAAGTGCATCCCCTTAAATAGCAGCAAACCGGATAAACTTAATAGTGTGCAAACTACCACTAAGCACTGAATGCAAACTGGAACTACACAAATGCATGTGTATTCGATGAGAAGCATCTAGATGTCTTTCTGGGACAACCAAAAATGATGAATAGAGCAATAAAACAGCCGTAAGAGAAACGTGTTATAAGACATCTAGTGTCGCCACCCCATACCACGCCACCACTAAAAGACAAAAATAAAAATAAATCACATTCCAGTCAACAGCAATGGTCATGCTCTGAGACGAGATACAGTTATAGGAGGAACACTTCAGGTTCTTTAGGACCGTTCGATGAAAGCTGGCATGTATAAAACTCATTGTCTTCATGTTTTGATATTCTCTACTTGCTTATATATGCGTGTGTGTGTGTGTGTGTGTGAGAGAGAGAGAGAGAGAGAGAGAGAGAGAGTGTGTCTGTTTGGGGCATTGATCAGGAAGTGTTTACTCAACGGTCACAGACTTGGCCAGGTTTCTTGGGCAATCAACCTGAGTGCGACAAAAAGAGGAAAAAAGAAAAGAAGAAATATTACAACATTTTAAAATATGTCATTTATTCCTGTGATCATTACTCCAGTCTTCAGTGTCACATGACCATTCAGAAATCACTCTAATATGCCGATTTGCCGCTCAATAAACATTTCGGTAACACTTTATAATAACTACACGCTAATAATCATTAGTTAAGCATGAGTAAACCATTAATTCATCATTCATAAAGCATTAATAGACATTAATAAGCAGTTCATAAATACAGCTATAAATGCTTTCTTCTTGATTTAAAAGCATATCTATAATTTGTTTAATAATTGTATTTTCATTCTTTATTAATGATCAATTTATCATTTCTAAATGAAGAATTGCATTTTTCATAAACCAGTTATTTAAGAGTTGTCCGTGGTTCATACGATTACTTAGAGCGAGTAAGTAAATGATTAATAAACTATTTAAATGTACATTCATACATCTTATTATTCAGACATATAGTGATGGTTACTTAATGTGTTAATAAATGCTTTATTAACATGTATTAATGCTGTAATTAAGGATTAATTTGGGTAGTTATAAAGCATTTAGTAGTGGTCAGTTGACTATGTTCGTGAGCTCATCTAAAGTGAGGACTATTCATGCCTTGTAAAGCCTTTTTAAAGGCTGTTAAATATTTCTATGTTCTGTTTCACTGCGTTGTGTTTGTTACATTTTACTGTTTAGAAGATTGACGAGTCTTTAAATCGCCTTTATAAATGCTTTACAATGCATGAATAGTCCTCACTTTAGATTAGCTCACAAAAATAGTTAACGGACCACTAATAAATGCTTTATAACTACCTGTATTTACTACATTTACTTACACTTTCCAAGTGGTCTTATAAATGACTGACAACTCTTAAACAACTGGTTTGCAAATAATGTTATACTTCATTTAGAAATTATTAATTGATCATTAACAAAGTATGAAAATACAATCATTAAACGCATTATAGATATGCTTATAAATCAAGGAAAAAGCATGTATAGCTATATTTATAAACTGCTTATTAATGTCTATTAATGGTTTATAAATGATGTATTAACTGTTTACTCATGCTTAACTAATGATTAATAGCGTGCAGTTATTATAAAGTGTTACCAACATTTCTTCTAATTATCGATGTTGAAACAGTTGTGTTGCTTAATATCTTTGTAGAAACCCTGATTTTTGTGTTCAGGATTCTGTGATAAAACGTTTTGAATAAACGAGGTCCAATTCTCACTATTAACTACGACCTTTGCCTCAAACTCCTAACTACTGCTTATTAATAGTTAGTTAAAGGGTAATTCCACCGGTGGAGACATGAATATGTATTGAAAGTGGGTCATGTATGTACAAGAATAGTTTCATAAATTTCTAATTTGGGTCCTTCTTGGCCGATAAAAGGCAGAAAATGACTTTTTAGTGCTTGTGGATTGTCACTCAGCAGGCCACTCCCACTGCTCCGCCCATCAATGTAGACTGAGTTGAGCTCCACTCTACGTTACCGCCTGGAAATCATTTCGCACAATGAAATCAGATAACGCACGCTAATATAATATGACGGCTTAAGAGCATCAAGGCGGCGTTCGCGCCATCAGCCAATGGATTGGCGGGATTCTTTACGGGCTTCAGACAGTCGGCACACTTACTCTGACGTGTAATTTTACACTTGAAATGCAGCCAAACCTTGAAGTGCTTTGTCTTCGGCATCTTCATTAATCCCCTCGCTATGAGACGTTCCGGGAGTCTCCCGCATATTGATAACGGCTCGCTAAAACCAGCAAATTAGTTCAAATCTCCCGGAATCTAGAGCGAGTGAGCAAGAGAGCGCATGCGAGACAGATCAGACTGTGCCTCATGACACAGAGTCTCAGGCAATGAAATTTTCATTCTTATTCGATCTGGTTATTTCCGTTTACGTCGGAAACGGTTCCCTATTGGCACCGCGTTTCAGTACCCAACCCTACCCATAATGCATCCGTCTGCGTATTCAGCTTCGTCCATTTTTTCAAAAAGTTTCTGCCGGTGAAATCAAACGCACTGGCACTGATCTGTGATTGGTCTGTTAGCGCATTAGGTGGGCGGGTTTGAAAGGGTGGGATCTAGTGCTTGTAGTCTTTACAGAAATCCAGCCTCTTACACTTCCTTCTACAATGACGTAAAATGACGATTTTTGCGTCATTGTAGGAGGAGGTGAAAAAGGTAAATAGTAGATTTCTCTCGTCTCAGGGGAAAATGAGAGTGTTGCACGACCATTCAATAGTATAACTGGATTTCCAACAATGGAAATCTTAATGCAAATGGGTGGAGTGTGTCTTTAAGGGTGGATTGAGGGATGTAGAATATGGTCATGCAGAATAAGGCATTAATAGAAGTACTAATAAACAGCCAATATCCTTGTATGGCAATATGCATGCTCATAAGCAACTAGTTAAAAGTGAGAATTGGACCCTAAACTATGAAAAGCATTCACTGTTACTATTAAAAATGGCCTCCACAATCACCAGATCAATCCAATTGAGATTTTCGACAAATTTGCAGCAACTGTCTGATGCGATCATGTCAATATGGACCAAATGCTCTGAGGAATGTTTCCAGCACATTGTTGAATCTTTACCGCAAAGAATTAAGGCATTTCTGAAGGCAAAGGGGGTCCAACCCAGTACTAGCAAAGTGTAGGGTGAATTCAGGGTAATTAGGACACACTTTCTAATGAGATGACTTGGAAAAAGTGTCCCAATCAGCCTGAATTGACCGTAAATAGTAAGGTGAGGGGAATAGTGAGAGGAAACGAGCACTTGAGAGACTCACGTCGAATCCGCGCAGCACCGCGAGGTGGAAGGAGAGCAACTGTAGAGGAATGACGCAGAGGATTCCCTGGAGGCAGTCCAAACAGTGAGGCACTTTAATGGTGCGACTGGAGTTGTTGATGGTCTCATTGTCCTCCTTATCGCAGATTACGATTGGACGGCCCTACAACAGCAACAACCATTGTCATATTAAACAGCAAATACTGCAGAGATAACTAAGGCTGTACAAAAACAGCAAATTTTTAATGATATTCAATCTATATCCACGGGCATGGTACACACCTAATATGCTTTTGTGTACTGAAACTTGGTTTACAACGCATTTGATCACTATTTTATATCTTGCAAGCAGTCGCGGGACATCTAGAAATGACGAATCGAATGGCTGTTACCTGTCTTGCCACCACCTGCTGCAGTGCGTTTTGGCATTTGTTGTACGTATGGTCTCTCATGATGATCATTATGACAGGCATGAGTTTGTCCACCAGAGCCAGCGGCCCATGCTTCAGCTCTCCAGCTAGAATCCCCTCTGAATGCATGTATGTGATCTCCTTGATTTTCTAAATGACACAAACAAGAGCAATATCATGCTACCTGAGAAGACTGACTAGACAAGAACTAAAAACAAAGACAAGACAAAACCCAAAACATAACCGTTACATAATCATAATTAGGAAAAAAAAAAAAAACCCAGCTGCATCACATCTTAGGTTCAAATGCAGATTTTTGTGGTCAGAGTTGGCTATTGCCTCAAGGGCACTGTCCCTTTCCTCACTTCCAGAGTAAGTTTTTCTAAACCAACAGTCAAATTGCTTCCTCTACTTATCTACAGTTAAAATAAATCACCAAACTTCTGGTGAAGTCCATTTTCTTCCTTGTTCTTCCTTTCCTGATAAGACTTAAATGGGTCATGAACTGCCTTTTTATTTTTTCTTATATTGTTGTCTGAGGTCTTATGATGTTCGCTTGGTTTTTACATTCAAAAACATCAAAATGAATAAGTAATAGGCTAGTTCCTAGCCTAGTTTCGAGCCCAGCTGAAAAACGCTCGGTTTTTATGGGCGTCTCGCATTGAAGACTTGGATGTAAACGCCCACTGCTGTGAGTGGATAACAGTTTTGCATATTATAATGAGTTTCACTCTCGATCCGGTTTGTCATCACGAGGTAGGCCTATGTTATTTAACTATGCGTGTAATGCGCGAATCGGTGGGCGGGGCTAAACCGGCTGTGTTGAAGTAGGCGTTGATCTTCATCTGCGGGGGTGGTGTTTTATCCTCTTTGACGTCATAGTTCCCCACTTTGAAGAACGAGTCGTTTGCTGAGTCTGGTGTCAATAAAAGCTTTTATTAGACTAACAAGGACGTTTTCATTTCTGAAACTTACAGGATATTCTCATAATATGATGACCTCTTAGATGTCAAAAGCTCAAGGAAAATTTGATTCCTCAGTTCATCACCCCTTTAAATTGTACAGGTCTAATTATTCTTGAATGTAAAACAGCAGAGTATCAATCAGCGTAAATTAATCTCTAAATCACCTTCATGTCTTTTACTTCATTCTCCAGAACATAAAATATATTTTGAAGAATGTTGGGAACCAGTTTTGGTGACCATTAACTAAGTATGGATGGAAAAATATCCTGAGACATTTCTCAAGAAATATCTTCTATGTTCAGCAGAAGAAAATATGACGACTTTTTTTTTTTAATTTGAGTTAACTATCGCTTTTGTTCCACTTGTGCGCACATAAACACACAAAGTGTGAGAGCTATGGAGGAGGACAATTAAAAGCTTTGTGTGAAGAACAGACCCAAAGTTAAGTCATTATTCACTATGATATGGCTTCAGGAGACTTGAAACAGAAGTAGGAGGGGAGTGAGTGATAGATGGGTGAAGAAGAGGGATTGTGTCTAACCAAAGCTCCCTCCAGACAGGTGGCGTAGTGGTAGCCTCGGCCCATGATGAGAACACTCTTCTGTTGATACAGCTCAGTTGCCAACTTCTGAATCTCATCGTCCAGACTCAACACCTCCTTGATCAAGTCTAGAAAAAGAAACACAGTGTAGTAGCTTCTATATTGTGCTTTTACACATTCACACATTAAGTATTTAGTAAAGGTGGGAATCACAGGGTACCTCACGATACACAGATCATCACGATACAGCAATTCTCAGCAATAATCAATATATTGCTGGACAATCCTATAATGATACATCACTATAAAGCAACATGCCTGTGAAAAGGTTAAGTGCAGGTTCTCTCTCTTTATTCAAGTCCAAACTGTTCGAAAACTAGGGCTGTGAAACGATTAATCGCATCCAAAATAAAAGTTTGTGTTTACATATGTGTGTATAATTATTTTGTATATATAAAGTCACACATGCATACAGTATTTAAGAAAAATGTGTTATTAATATATCAAATATTTCTATTTATGTATAAAATTAATTTTGTATAAATTAGTGCTGTCAAACGATTAAAATATTTAATCGCGATTAATCGCATTAATGTCATAGTTAACTCGCGATTAATCGCACATTTTTATTCTATTCTTTTTGTTGCATTATTTTTTTCTCATTTTAATGCTCTTGTCAACATGGAAAAGTGGATCGGCTTGTTTAGTGCAAATGTTTTTTTTATTATTATTATTGAAAATAACATTGGAATAGTGTTCAATTTCACACTAACATATATAATGTAACACTGTCTATCAATAAAAGGGTAAAAGAAATACTGACGAGGTCCTGATATTGACGAGGGGGTGGAGAATTCGCATCATCTGTGTGTGTGTGTGTTTGCTTGGCCATCATCAAGTAGTGTTTCAGACTGGATGTGCTGCGATGATGATAGCTCAGTTCACAATGACAAAACACACAGATCACTTGGTCTTGTCAATGGGACAATTTGGCAACTTTTTAAATTCGTTCAGAATCTTCTAAGGGCATCCATTTCGGCGTCTCGCGCTCGTCATCCACTCAAAACGTAACGTTACTATTTGCCGAAACGAGTGTGTGAAGCACAAAACGCCCTCACGCTGCGCTCTGAACCCATTCATATCAATGGCTTGCGCTTCGCGAGGACGTTTTGTTGCTTCTTCGACCAAAGCGCAAGCGGATCTAGCTAGAACGGAAACAAAACAGGCACGCCGCAAACACACGTTTGGGCTTACGAGCCGGCTTTGAGTGGATGACGAGCGCGAGACGCCGAAATGGATCAGGACGCATGCCGCGTCCTGTTGCAAAAGCATGTGAAAAAACTACAAAGTTTGCTAGGACAAAAAGACGTTAATCGTGCGATTAAAAAATTAACGCCGTTAATAACGCGTTAAACTGACAGCCCTAGTATAAATATATATAAAGTATATACATGCAAATATTTCTTAAATATATACATGCATGTGTGTGTACTTATATATACAAAATAATTATACACACTATTATGTAAACACAAACTTTTATTTTGGATGCGATTAATCGTTTCACAGCCCTATAGATTTCAATGAAATCAGGGTGATGGCTTTACAAATGGTCTTGTGTGTTCATGGTATTACCTGCGCACTTTACATTTACCAGGCAGTTATTGTATGCTGCATACTCTGTCGATTTTGATTTTCCCATCAATGGTATACATAGAGTCTGCGACTAGTCAATGACCAATCAAATGGCCGGAGGTGTCGTTTCCAGACACATATTGTAATCTGGTTGAATCTCCAGGTAAGACATCGTGGTAGCTGTAGCGGTAACATTAACCTATAACTCAATCAACTTTCGTATGTGTTGCATACTATAACTCCATAAAACCTTGTCACTTACCAATCAACATGACATCATGACTTTTGCGTAAACAAACACGCCACTTTCGAGTCAAGTGGCGTGTTATCTCTACGCATTTTGAGCTATCTGCGTGTATCCGCGTGTATGCGTGTATGTCTACGCCATTAACGTCCGTGTCATTCCGCGTGTCTGTACACGCAGTCAAATCTCCAGTCATAAATGCCATTAACCCCAGTGACGGTTAGGTTTAGGGACGGGGTTGAGGTAAGTCATATCTTTTTTTTTCCTAGGATGGTAAGGGAACAGTCATAAATGCCATTAACCCCAGTGACGGTTAGGTTTAGGGACGGGGTTGAGGTAAGTCATATATTTATATAACGTTAAGTCAACGGCGTTCATAAACACGCTGAAAAGCAATTATGCGCCTTGATAGCACGCCAAAAATGAAAATACGAATTGGCGTGTCATACACACGCTACTTCATGAGATCAGTCTGTACCAATTGTACATATGCTTCACTCCAAACTATTGATCTTTTTGTAAAACGGTGATCAGTAGTACAAAGTTGCCGAGAGACTGTGCTGACAGTTATCCCCAACTCACAGACTGGAGTCTGTATTGAGTGTAGACCTCAAACTAATCCACAGGTTCACGGCTCGCGTCATTACGCAGTGTTTGGCATATCAAGCAAGCCTTCAGCTGATAACACTAATGTGAATGAGACATCCCTTATGAAAAACAACTATAGGAATCCTGTAGTATTTTAGGACAAAGTATTATAGGAATACTATAGTATTTTTGGGACGTACAATAGACGTATCACACAAGTATTATACACTGCTATAGAAATCTTATAGCATTACTATAGTTCTTTTTTGTAAGGGATCTAGACAAATCTGGCCCACTGCCTAATACATCACACAGGGATCTACTCACACAGTAATCTCAAAAATTACGAGTCCCTGGAGGCTCACACCTTTTTTTACCAACGGGTTTGTTGTTCATGGAGGGTAAAAGACAAGCCACATAAAACCTGGATTGCAGTACAGGAGGACGGGGCCATCCTGACTCTGCGACTGTATGGCAGGGTGTGTAGTTGATTATACTTATCCTGATTCTTTATTTGTGACACTTATTTGTATTAAAGATACAATATGCAGGATGTTTGCAGTAAAATATCCAAAAACCACTAGGCCAATGTTATATTTTGTTTAGTGGACTACTTACAATATCCCAAATGTTTCAAACTATTTGTAAATTGTGAAAAAATTGCGATTTTTAACCAAGGAAATGGGGCGTGTGAGCAGGGGTGAGGAGGCCAGTCAATGACGTCATATCCGCGTTACCCCCGGTTTCCGCCAGGTTTGACCTCGTATTGCATTAGTAACCATGGCGACAGACGTGGGCAACTGGGTCGGTTATGCCCGTTATGCGTGTTCAACAGTGTGAGCGTCCCTAGCAGGGTTTTGTGACAAACTTTGAGACTAAAACGAAGATCAACATCTTTCGAGATGCTGAGAGCTCCACGTCCGCGACTAACTTCCACTTGACAGAGACGCGAGTGTTGCATGTTACTTGAGCAGACAGGTGAGCAAATGAATGTATTTAAAACTAATCAATGTTATATAGTTCAACATGAATATGATCTGTATGTTATTCTCTAAAGTTAATCTAGCTTAGTCTCATACAGCCAACAAACAACTAACAACTAACAAACAACAACTAACAACATTCAACACACTCAAATGCCGTTTAGTGTGACAGTGAAACTGTTAGAGCAAGTGAAGCAGCGCTGCGCTACCTTAAGTTTAATTCCTCTAATAAACTGACCTGCGTGAGTAATTCAGTGTGTGGTTCGGTACAATTAAATGTCCTTATTCCTTTATATCCGCGGGACTCGCGTTGCGTGTGGCGCTGGTATATGTCTAGCAATCACACCTTGCTTCATACTACAGTCATGTTAAAAGCATCAATGTATTCACTCATCCATAAATCCATCAGCTTGACGACAAGATCCATAATTCCACTTAATGCGGAATATACGTCATTAATATACGCCTTTGTTATTGTAAGAGGTTAGCGACCCCTGGTGGCGAAACAGTCTTGCATATTGTACCTTTAATACTGTAATTTGTACTACAACAAAGCCATTTTTCTACATTTTGTCCTCCTTTCTGGTTCTGTGCGTTTATTAGCAAGGATGTAGAACTTCAATTCATAATTTGTTTGTTTATTGGCGGTACACAGCAACTCTTCGGCATGAACGTCGCATGCATTTCAATTAGCGCCAAGGCAATGTTTTCCCCCACGGGCTAAATTCACATCGCGTGACCAACCATCTCTATGTATAAAAACCGAAATGGGTCCAGACTTTGGACATAAACGTGGCTGGGGCCTCTATTTTAATTAATCATTAATGTAATTTTATGTTTAGTTTTTTTCTCTTTTACTGTTTGTGGCTTAAAAATGGATGCAAGCTATAAACGTGCACAGTTTAACTAACTTGCAAAGAATCTTTCCAAACTGCTGCTCTACCACGGCAATAGTTGAACTTAAAAGGAGACAACAGATAGAATACCTGCTGCAGCACCCCATGTGGCAAGACTGAGAATAAAATACATAAATGTGTACACATTTCAGTATATAACCATGTCATGTACTCATACAAGTTTTGGGCTGTAAATACAGTGACCAAAACATGCAAGTTATTAATGCCAGAATCAGCAGTTTTTAGCATGAACAGTAAGCGGCAGTGCAGGGTGACCTTTAGTAGCTGGCTGCCAACACATTCCCAAACTCATTGGCTTGGAAGCAGAGCGAAAAATCCAGAGAGGGAGAACGAAAGAACTGGAGAAGGGAGGAGGGGCGCCCCAGCAGACACTTGTGGTCCAATAAAGACTTCCAACAGTGACTGAGAGAGCTGGCCGAGGCCATCTGCTCCTCCCTGCACACCAATCCGTGAACACACACACGCTCTATCAGCAACTCGCCAACATAAATGTACACAAAGAGCCCAGGCGTACAAAAGTACAAAAGTGTTGTGACTTATGACTGGGATCACATCAGAAGCCATTCTTGCAGAATTTCCAGGCAATACTAAAACATTCATTCACACACACACACACACACAGCTGTGTTTGAGTTTACCTGGCAGCACTTTGAGGCCTTGAATGATTTCTCGCCTGCGCGGCTGCACTGAGATTCTGTCATCACACATCAACAGGGCGAACATGATGAGAGCCACAAACTGACTTGTGTACGCCTGCAACAGACAAAACAAACAGGACAAAGTAGACTTCATATGAGCTCCAAATGCAGTTGGTTTGTTTGTATGGTTGTCACAGTGTATTGACCCACAGTGGCCTGTAGTGCTGGAGACAGATGAGACATGAAATGATTTGTTATATTTATTGAATAATCCAGAATATCCCAACACCAAACAAGCAAACTATGAATTTGAGTTTCTGTGGAACTCTCTCAAAAATGCAACTAATACACATTTTCCAGCTCGTGATTTTTCTTTTATATCGTTTTGCCTATATATTGAGTTGAACACTTTTGAATATATGTTTTAGTATTGCATTATGTAGTTAAAATAATAGTTTTTTGTCATTTTTTGCAGATCTGAAACTTACTGTACATCGTTGTCGTGTAAATGCACCCTCAGACATTTTTAATAATGGTTTGAGATATATATGTGATATATAGGGCCTCTGTCATTTACAACTTTATGATTGACATTCTACACCTGATCAAATGATAAAGCGAGAGGAAATCATATTTCAGTCTAAAATAATATTAATAATTCTGTTTTGGTTGAATAATTTGCCAAATAAGACCAGGGACAAAAGAAAGGAGAGGTCAAAAACAATCTATCAGCTTCTTATTTGCCTTCTTATCCTCATCTCTCACACGCGTCTTTGATCCCAAAGCAACTGTGGTTGTAAATCGCTTTAACGACATTCCTCAATGCATACGTTGTCACATTACATGTCTAACTGTAATCCAGCGCCATGCCATCATCTTTCAGAGCATATTAAAGCCACTCAAAGTCAAATATGAAGCACATTTCTAAAGCATTCAGGACGTCTGACAACATGCTCTGGCTCACTTAAGGTTCTGTGAGTTCACGCAAGATATTTCCAGTGACGGTAGAGGAGCCATGGACAATACACCCACCCTGACAAATCACTAACACATGAGAGGTGATCCATGGACGTTACCGTGTCGATTATTATTTGCAGATGCTCTTCATCTGTGAAGGTTCACTACCTGCACTAAATCTGAGGTTAAGTAGCTTGGTTAAAGGTGTGATAGTAATAAGGGTTGAGAGATTTATCTTGTTAAGTTGCTAGAACTCGTTAAACCAACAACCTTTTTGTCTTTAACCAATTTACCAACACCCCAATCCATAGCAATCCAAACCCTCTGCGAGTTTTGTTGAAACTAAAAACAAACCCAAACCTGTAAAACTGAACTTACACTTAAAAAGAAAGACAAACTCAAAATAAGTCATTTTTGGTCCCAGTGGATTCAGGTCAAGTAACAGAGCTCTACTTTGCTGCACTTAGGTCTACTACCTTGTATGCATATATGCAAAATTGAGTCACTAAAGCGTAGTATTGCTGACTTCAAAGGGTGAGAGGCCCATTTGGGACCAAATCATAGTATAAAAGTTTAGAAACAAACAAAAATCGGATGTTTTTAGTTCGTTTTTAGTCATTGGTCCGTGTTGTGTTCATATTTCAGTCGGACCAGAGTTCATTTAAAAGCAGACCAAGACCCATCTGTTCAGCGTTCTCGGTCCACTTGTTTGGTGCACACCAGGGTTGAGATGGCTACGTTCAGACTTATTCAAATGAACTGCACAGACCAAATCACTCCAGAGTTTGTTTTAATCGAATCAAACCAGCCAAATGTGAACACACCCTAAAAGAGCCGTTGACACTGACAGTGATTTGCCGTGACTAAGCGAACAGACACCAAAAAGGACAATCGTTTGGCAGGACTACCAATGGGAGTGCAGGAAGTAATCCGCCGATTACTGATACAGTTGGGATACCATTGCAAAGTTCCAGTTCTACTTATTTCAGTAGTAGCTGAATATGAAGAGGCAGAAAAGGAAAAGATTTCAGTGAGGGAAGGGCAGAGCATCAATAAACTTGGACTTTAAAAAACGGTGACATTCCAAAGAAAAGAAAAACTTTTAGGGGAACACTGATGTTAAGTACGAAATCTTGAAAGAAAGTGTCTGAAAAGAAAGTGTTCACACTGTCTGGATACCATGGACCAAATTTTTGCTTCAGCGAGTGGACCAATCACAGAACGGGGAGGGAGCAGCAAGATGATGACGATGTCTATGCAACACACCGAAGCAGTTTGTTTATACCTATGGATCAAACATGGCAGCAGAGGTGAAGTTACCTTTCGATACAGTCTTGGATATTATTCTAAGTAGTTTAGAACACAAATAAGTCTCTGACCCATCATCTTCTTCCTAGTCTAATTTCTTTCGCTCTACATGCGTCATCTGGTATAATTGAAATGATTGGCTTTGAGCTACGTACAGGCGCATTTGATAAGACATTCGTAGCACCCAATTAATGGCTCTGGGCATTCGTAAATCATGCCTCAAATACGAGAAAATTAACGTAGTTCCCAGACCAAGTCTCAATGTCAATGAGACGTGGTCTGACATTATTCCGAGTTCAGACTGCACGATTTTGGCTCGCTGACAGGTTGAGAAACTGCCGACAAATGCCCGAAATCACAGGCAAATCGGTGCTCTTTCACACGAATGACAATCACGAGTGATCTGGGAGAATGGCAGACAAGTCGCCGACTCCCGTGAGATATTTGGCATGCTAAATATCTCGACCTGTCGGCGATTCAAAATCCTGCAGTGTGAAAAGTGTTCTGACTGAAAACTACATCGGCGATTACCGACAGCCAATGAGAGAGCAAGACACAGAGCAGCAGGGAGTTTGGGGAGGAGTTATAGAGCACATATCAACATATGGCATTGTTTCAGAAAAAGGCTTCTTCTATTTGGAGCCAAGAAATCAAAGAAAAATTAGAAGAAATTTGTCAGGAGCACTCGTGTCTGTTTGACGTTTCATCTGAGCTGTACCACAACGGGTCGAAAAAGAAAAAGTCTCACGTGAGAACTTCGGTCTTGCACGTGTGATGTCACGTTGTTTCCTTGTCACATCTCACGTATGTTTGTTGTGAAACGTATGTAGTTTGCACGCAGCGTGCTAGACAGAGTTGTTGGTGATTCTTTCTATTGTAAAGTCATGCAGTGTGAAACCTTCTGTCGCCGATACATTGTGCAGTGTGAACACAACAGCGACTGAATGCTGGCCAAGATAGTCATGCAGTGTGAAAAGAACAGCGACCCGACTACTTTGAAAATCATGCTAAGAGAGGACTGCAATCACAGCAAAATCAGGCAAAACAAGTAATATGTCAAATCTACATCAAATAAGCCCCTTTTCCACCAAAGCATTTTGAGAGCCGGTTCGGAGCCGGTGCCTGCAGGCGAACCAGTTCTTTGTGTTTCGACAGCCAAAGAACCGGTTCTCGGCCAGGAGAACTGGTTCCAAAGCGGCACCAACTCTTTGCTGGACTAGAACCGTTCTTTTACCACGTCATGCTTACGTCGGGGGCTGGGGCGGGTTTAGATGCGTTCTAAACAACTTTTCTGACCATAATAAAGGATGGCAAAGCCAAGAGAAACATTTGCAGAAACACGATGGAGTCCGCTTTTTGTAATTGTAATGCTTGAAGTTAACGCAAGCGTTTCTATTTTTGTAATTTTTTTATTGAAGACATTATAAGCAAAGAAGAAAACCGTCACAATATAGAACAAATAAATGGAAAGAAAAAAAAGACACAAGACAGGGGTACATAACTTACCAGAAAAGATTACATATCAAACAAAAAGATTAAAAGACTTACTGTACATATTTCAATAGTTTTTAAAGCCTTCTTGGTACACGAGTTGGAGATAATCCCAAAGTAAGCGTTTCTAGCTAAGACGTATGGCGACGTACAAAATGACGTGACGACGTCGTTCCCTGGGCGCTCTAGTCAGTGGAAAAACAAACAGGTTCTGAAGCGGTTCGCAAGTTGAACCAACTCCGAATCAACTTTGAACCAGCACCAGTTCCGAACCAGTTCTTTTTTGGTGGAAAAGGGGTAATAAGGTGCAAGCTGTGCGGCAAAATGCTGTATTGGTGCACATGGAAAAAACATTTGGAGTGTATCTGTTGCCTGGAAAAAAGATGTCTGCAAAGCGCAAACACGTTTGACCGGCAGCTTCATTTTACATATAGGATATTTTGAAAATGAGGTCAAAAAAGTCAGGAAAAGAGAACTGCCATGTACTAGACACTTCCATTTTTTCAGTCAGCAGAGAGTTCCAATTATTACAGCTGAAACCAGGAGCGCAACACTCCAAGTAGTTGTGGGTGTGGGTTTAGAGGTTCCCCTGAGGGACTGTTCTGGTGCTGTGTAGACATGGGTGGATAGAGCAAATGCACGTATCTGTGGAGCAATTCAACAATTCTCAAAGGTCCTGACATTTTAAAAATGTGGTTTAAGGGTAATTGTGCATGTTTGGTGGGTGTTCTGCAGTGATTCTGACACTTAATGCCCCTGATCTGGAAAAAACTGGAATCTGGGACCAAATGGTAGGAAGATAAAAGAACGGATAGATGGATTTCTACTTTCATTGATGGCTAGATGTGAAAGTCACAGTGTCATTCTTTTTTGTGATGAGAGTTCCAGTTGGGAAACAGCTCATGGGTGTTTTGTGAATTCATTTGAGACTCTTGAGAAAATATTACAATGACAATCCACCACAGGAAAGAGACCACCATTTTACAGCGAAACAAAAGCCACTTTTCCACCATCCGGCCAAACCGTTCTCATTGATTAACCGTTCCATTCAGTGCCGATCCGGTTTTATTTTCCACTGTGGGGCTGATATCAGAGCTCTTTGGAATGTAATACAAATGTGTCACTCATTGCTCTCTTACAGTAAGGATTTACAGATGATATGAGATGAGGATGATCAGATGTTTCTTTAAAATCTTTTATAACTTGCGTTAACTTCACTCAAATAGAGCAATTGGCCAGCTACAGAGAAACTGGTAGCCAGGCAACACTCAGGCGACCAATCCTGAATGGTAACATCACAGTTTGTATTTGTGCCATGCCGAACTGAGCTTAAGTGGAACTATAACTGGAACCATTCCTACCGATCTTAGAGCCATTCGTCCAGATGGTGTGTCAAACACATGTTCATGGAATTTGTAAAAAATAAAATACAGTAACAGAATCTTAATTTATCACCACACGACAAGGGCCGGTGGAAATGATTTCCAGTAATTTTACTTCCGGTCACCTTAGACTGGCATCATGTCCCCTTTACCACGACAGACAACCCCAGGAACCTCACTCAGGGAGACAGAGGTGATGATTCATGGATCACTCCTTGGAAGTAGCAACAACCCAATTACCAGGTTTTCACCTTAATCACAACATAACTGTATGTTTATCATTAACATAACCAGTAATCTTGGATCTGCAAAAGTAGGCATCAATGCCAGAATGGAAGTAAATAAGATTTTGCAGCTGACTGTGCAGGATTAACAAATACCAACACAATCTTTAGAGTAATATGAAAAGCGTCCATTTCATATGACCTAACGCACAATCGGTTATATGATCTATGCATATATTCACTGCTATGCGACTATAAATCCAATATAATACCTATAAATACATTTTTATGGTAAGAAGGGGGGGGTCGTTCCTTTTACAACTATGCAACACCTGGTCATTAACAACCTTTGAGTGTTTCTTAAATCACAACCACATAATTATTTTTGAAAACAGAAACAATTAAACCACAGATGAGGGTTTGATCCACAACTGTAGAGTCCTGCGTTTCATTTGAAACCTGGAACACGTCGAGGGAGTCTGTAACATATCATTTAAACTCATCGAAAATGGCATGCCCAGAAAGTAGAGCTAAATACCAGTGCAGGATTTTGCCAGATGTCCTGGCTCCTCACCCTCATTATTTTACTCTGATTCTTATATGAGCAATTATATCACCTAATTCAGCCTGCAGGCATCCATGTTTCTATCCTAATGAAGCTCTATTATGAATCGATTGGAGCTCTTGTCTGTTGCATAACATGTTGTTAATAGCAAAACAATGACAATCATCTTCCTTTAAAGAAGGGTGAAGGAACGTAGGGGTAAAGAATGGCTGAAGCAGCAAGAATACAGTCTAATATGCATTCATATTTCTTCTATTTATTAGTATCTCTAATCCAGCCAAATCCAGCTGCTCCCCAGACTCAAGATTTCAAAAACAGCTTTTTCTTTTTACATATTTGATGTGACTTCATTTGACTTGTATGCTCTGGCTGAAGCAATAGAACAATGGTCTAGAAGTACTGAGCTGTACATCTTTTTTCTTGTGCTTTTAATTCTCTAACTTGTTTGTGTGCTTTTTGCACTTATTTTTTTTCTTTCCTTTTATGTATAGAAGTTTGGCCAACCAGGGTTGCTCTTCTCTTGGGTATAAATAAGTTTAAATTACACTGATAATAGTGAGAGTTTTAGAAAGCGGTCTACACAATCCATTCCCTAATCAGTCCAACAAATAGAAGCCTGTATAAATAAACATACATAATTTAAATTTGCAGCAAACTATGCAACTAAATTACCAAAACTTGAAAAATGTATGTTCATTTATTGACTTAATGGATAACCAAGCTCCATGTCTACTCTAGCACTACTGCAATATAGGGCTGTTCACAATTTGATTGGATTTAATTAGACATCAGGATATACATCAGATACAGAATGACACAGGTGGAGAGAGAGTGATAGAGCCAATTCAATTGAAGTGGATTATTAGGAGGCAATGATTGGCAAGGGCCAATGGAGGGAATTTGGCCAGGACACCGGGGTTTCAACCCTACTCTTTGCGAGAAGTGCCAAGGGATTTTTAATGACCACAGAGAGTCATTAAGAGAGTCAAAAGTAACAAAGCTTATTGGGATTTACTGAATGGAAGGCGCACTCAAATGTTCCATTCATTAATCAACTGAAAACAGCATTCATTGACTAAAAGATACTGTATCTATTCAATATCTATTCATTTTGTACACAGCCCTACTGAAACCATATTGAACAAAATTGTTTCTTGAACAGATCCCCTGGCTATGGGATAGCTGCGGGTAATAGGCCAATTTAAAGCACATAATGTGGGTTGCCATGTGGGACGTTCACTACAAAGTGAATGGTTAAAAGAATCTGTCGTAAAGACCAATGGATGCTAAATTGGTGGAAATGGCTTGGAGATTGGTACGAATTATGAGGGGGTTTGTAGGGGGTCTGACATCACTAATTAACACTTGAAATAACCAAGTGTTAACTGTTAACAGTTTTAATCCTACATGAGACCACCATTTTCACAGCAATTTAATTTATGCGAGTTTATGTGAGCAAATTAATTGCACTTAAAAAACATGTTAATTTTACAGTCCAAAATCTTTTCTTTTTTTTAATGACAGATGACAAAAAGTACTTCATAAATTAAGAAACAAACAAACAAAAGCAGAACCCACCTTGGTGCTTGCCACACCAATTTCAGGGCCAGCGTTGATGTGGACGCCACAGTCTGTTTCCCTTGAGATGGAGCTGCCCACAGTGTTGGTGATGCCCACCGTCAGAGCGCCTCTCTCCTTACAGTAGCGCAGAGCCAACAGACTGTCTGCAGTCTCTCCTGAACACACACACACACACACACACACACATCAGAGTTCAGAAACCTGCCTTTCCCCCAAAAACACAATACACAGCTTCACATAGCGAGACACAAGCTAACCTGACTGACTGATGAAAAAGCACACATCATCTCGGAAGACAGGCGTGTTTCGGTCCAGGAAATCACTGGCCAGCTCCACCATGACAGGAAGTTCAGTCAGTTCTTCCAATACCTGACGAGTCTAAGCAAGAAAAACAGAACCAACCAGTTATTATGTCCTACTCAGACATGACAATAAATGTGATAGACATTTTATTTGCCATATCTTATTATTAAAAATAAAAAAAAATTCCATTGTTTTTAATAAGAAATAATTTTTCATTATTTCTTATTTTTTATTCTAAACTGTTTTAATTATTCTGATTTATTTTGATTATTTTAATTTCTTCTATGTAAAGCACTTTGAATTGCCATTGTGTATGAAATGTGCTATATAAATAAACTTGCCTTGCCTTGCCTTACTCTGAAGTCCACTTATGACTTAATCAGGCCTTTCTGCAGCTATTGTTTATAATCAATGTAGTAGTGTATGAAATCACATTCAAGTGTTTTGGTCAACACAGTGAATCTGAGTAAACAACTTTGCTCTCATGCAAAATTCCACATCATGTTGATTTCTATTGAAATTACTGAATTTCTCCCACAAAAATTCCCCAGAGATTTTCTTTGTAAATTCTTTGTAAGTATCATTATTATGTTTTTGCAGTTAACTGTCAGTAGATGAACCTTTCAAAATGAGGTGGAAAAAATGTTTCATATTAACACACTGAACTCTAACTTCAAAAGATCAAGGAGAAAAATGTATTTCTCCTAATATGACCTCATTTAAAAGCTGGACGTAAACTTGTACATGTCTCTGTGGGCCCTTCACACCTGACATTAACATGTGTTTCAGATCCAGACAGTCTCCAGCTGGATTGCGTTGTGTCACCTCGGATTCCAAGTCTCATGTGATCGGATTCAAATATTTCAAAATTATTTATTTTGTATGACGGACAATAAATAAGAAATCTAGTCTACTGCGTTTTCCTACTTAGAAGCTGTCTGTGAAAGTTTAGCAAAGATGGAAAAGACATATTTTATAATACTTCTCATACAGTTTAATTTCTTTGTTAAACAATTTGGACTAATAATTTATTAAACAAAGAAATCCAATAAGGATTGTGAAAAGGTGATGTCACGCTAAAAGTCCCGCCACTGTCAATCATCACTATGCAAATTATCAGGGAAACAGAAAAACGTATCAGCCGATAATTAAGACATCATTTATATTATATTGACATTTGCGATACATTGGTTGCTCACTAAATTAAACTTTTAAAATCAAATGTTTTCATGAATGAATTAGCATGTACAACTCAACATCAACTGTCCCCGAATAGCTCCGAATGCGTCGTCGCACTCATCGTGTGTTTTCAGTGCGTGATACATTTGGCTGGAAACCCACAATAATGTCAGGTGTGAAGTGGGCCTGTGTTTGTTAGTTTAGTGATGTACATACTGCAACTCCAGCATGGTAACTGGTCCCACAGGCGATCAAAATGAGCCTTCGACATCTCTGGATCTCTTTAATGTGGTCTTTCAGCCCTCCCAAGGTCACTGCACACAAACACACACACAGACATTAAGAAAATCCAGTACAAATCAGCCATTTCCAGTAAACTTTCTACTAAGCATTCAACTGAAATCTGATTCATTGCTCAAGAGTCCAGTAAAAAAAAAAAAAACATCTGGAAAATGTTCGGAAATATATACACCCGCTAAATTCATGTAATTGTAAATTCCCTAAAACTTTACCCACTTCTGTTCTGGAAGTGATTCACTGATCTGAGCACAGCTGCGCTCACCTGTGTTGTTCTCAAAGTTAACTCTTCCTCTCATGGTGTTGACCACTGACTCGGGCTGCTCAAAGATCTCCTTTTGCATGAAGGAACTGAAGTTTCCTGTTTTTAAAGAAGAGCCAGAGTGATGTTAGCAAGTGGTAAACTACATTAGAACATCTAAGTATACTGTGGTGAAGCACGAAACGGAGTTCATTGGGTTGTGTTGAGTGAATTGTCATATTTGTAAGGATATATCATCTGGAACTGTTCTCGTCTCATGTGGCATCCAGGAGGAGTTCTAAGCCGGGACTGAAAAACTATTATCATAAATTGCTGAATACAGAGTCTCTTAGACAGGATTAAGAGATTTTAGCCACTGACACCGGTCAAAAACAAAGCCCTTAATGTTCTGCTCAATTACAATCTGCTTATTAATTATTTTCTCACAAAATCATTGAGAAGCATAGCAGGAATGGGAGAAAAACTTTGAGGGAATGCTATACCCCGAAATTTAGGTCATGAGAATAGTTTTTGTTTTTTCACAATAAGCCAGATGAAATGTTGGGGGTGAGGAGAAAGGGGGGAAGGAGTGGATGGAGGGTGGAGGAGGAGCAAAAAAAGGAGAAGTGCATATCAGTGCACATCTGAAGTGATGTACTGCCCTCTGGTGGCAGAAAAGAAACTAAAAGCTGCTTTTTGACATGTAGGTGCAGTTCTCCCAGGACAGAGACATCTAAAGAGGAGCCTCAACCTTTTGGGTATTTTCACCTTTTTTCTAGCGGCAGCTTTATGAAACAGGCAGTTCAGATGTTATGAAATCATAATGTCAGTAAGGGATCAAATAAAGAATTACCATTGTAAAACGTTGTGGTTGCGAAGGTGTATTTTATGTTTTATATTAAAAATATGATGAATTTTGTCTCTTAAGACGCTTTCTTTTTCAAGAAGCCGTTTTACTCAGATATACGTAACATTAGGGAAGAAAATACTATTTCAACTTTCATTTTATAGTGACTTATATTACTTACATCAAAACTTATATTAATACAAGTGGACAAGACATGAATGACATTTCTAAGATGCATTTGATTAATATTATAAAAAAAAAAATTAATTAAAGATTCATCAATGATTGTTGAAGAGTTTCATCTGTAGGGCCATTTTAAGTCCCCCCCCCCCCAAATTCTGTGTTTTCTGTATTTAATTTTAATGTTTGATTCCATTTAAATAATCCAAAAAGGATGACTAATGTACACACACACACACACACATTTATATATATATGACGGGTTTTCCCAGATCGCATCACACACATATATATGTATATATATATATATATATATACATATATATATATAAATATATATATAAATAGGCTATGTACACATGGTATTTGTAGTCCAGAATGTGTGAATTGTACTAATGCCAATTAAATATTTATAAATAATTACTTTAACCTTTTTCCAGAAAAGAGACATGAACTTTGCAAACAATGTTAAATATATAGTGCTTCCTCCAAAAGAAATTTAATCCAATTTGGATATATATAATTTATAGTACGTATGTTAATTTTTCTCAGGGGAAAATAAAATCTCGCAACTAATTTATATTTATATTAATTTAGCTGACGCTTTTTATCCAATTGACTTGCAATTGCTATACATTGTCAGAGGACGCACGTCTCTGGAGCAACTAGGGGTTAAGTGTTTTGTTTAGGGACACATTGGTGTCTCACAATGGATTCGAACCCGGGTCTCTCACACCAAAGGGATGTCTCTTATCCACTGCACCATCACCACAACTACTGCTGTAAACTTAAAGTTAACTAGTTCTACGGTGTCTTAAACATGAATGAGCATCAGAAGGCATGTTGAATTTCATTCTAGAAACAGTAAAGAGGAAGAGCCAGTCAATCATGGTGGAACTGGGGATTTCAATCAGCTCTTGGCATTTTTTGCATGCATCTGTGCTCACCCTTCATGATCTGCTGCAGTTCCATCTGAAGGGTCTGGATGGCGCGGGCCGGATGGTCTCCCGCGGTGCGCTTGATCCGATGAATGGAGAGCCGGCCGTCGCTCACTGCCGCAATATCATCGTCCTCGAGGAAGATGACCTGATTGGTGTGTTCGATGACAGCACTGCAGTGATAAAAGCACAGTCATATGAATACCAAGTTCATCACGAAACTCCTTAACACGATCCTGCTGACAATACTACACAGCAGATGCTGATTGGTTGCTGTTGCATCAGTAGCCGATGAGCTTACTGCTCAACATTTAAAAAGTAGATCAATGTCTTATATACATGAATGTATTGGGAGTAGCAAGTTTCTATACTTGCTCTGCAGCATAGCAGATATATTCCGCCAAGACCAAATACATAATACATGAACTTTTCAGAGGATTGCCATGACTGAAACACCTATTCTGTTTAAATCCACTCAAATCTTCTTGGGTTTTGCGCCATGGGCTTCAAAAACAGTGCAAACGTATAAATTGTAGGGGTGTAACGATATTCGAACCAAAAAAGCGCGATACAGAACTCACGATTCGAATCGCGATACTCTCATTGCGTACCGAACACGCCCCGCCCCCTGTTACCCCGGCCCCGCCCAATGGACCTCATGTCTTATGTGTACAGTACACAATGAATTCAGTTTTGTAGCCTAACCACCATTAACAACAAATAACAAGCTCCGTGTTTTGTTACTTTCGATAATAAGCAAGGTGTAATCTTTCAAATTCAGTAGAAAATGACAGAAACTATGTAAATTATTATATTTCAAGAACAAATTAGAGTTAATGTAAATGTTAAAGTTAATGCAAAAACTGCCTTATGTTCAGTTTACATGTTTTCATACAATGTGTTGTGTGTTAATTAGTGCCGTCAAACGATTAAAATATTTAATCGCGATTAATCGCATTAATGTCATTGTTAACTCGTGATTAATCACACATTTTTATCTATTCTAAATGTCTTTTGATTTCTTTTTGTTACATTATTTTTTTCTCATGTTAATGCTCTTATCAACATGGACAAGTGGATCGGCTTGTTTAGTGCAAATGTTTTTTTTATTATTATTATTGAAAATAACATTGGAATAGTGTTCAATTTCACACTAACATATATAAATAATCTCTCACACAATGTAACACTGTCTATCAATAAAAGGGTAAAATAAATATTGACGAGGTCCTGATATTGACGAGGGGGTGGAGAATTCGCATCATCTGTGTGTGTGTGTGTTTGCTTGGCCATCATCAAGCGGTGTTTCAGACTGGACGATGCTGCGATGATGATAGCTGCTCAGTTCACAACGACAAAACACACAGATCACTTGGTCTCGTCAATGGGACAATTTGGCAAATTTTTAAAAGTAAACTTTCCATTCAGAATCTTTGGGCATCCATTTCGGCGTCTCGCGCTCATCATCCACTCAAAACGTAACGTTACTATTTGGCCGACTCGCAAGCCCAAACGAGTGTGTGTGGCATAAAACGTCCTCACGCTGCGCTCTGAACCCATTCATTTCAATGGCTTGCGCCGCGCGAGGACGTTTTGTTGCTTCTTCGACCAAAGCGCAAGTGGATCTAGACCGTAAACAAAATAACAGGCACGCCGCAAACACACGTTTCGGCTTGTGAGCCGGCTTTGAGTGGATGACGAGCGCGAGACACCAAAATGGATCAGGACGCTTGCCGCGTCCTGTAGCAAAAGCATGTGAAAAAACTACAAAGTTTGCTAGGACAAAAAGACTGTTAATTGCGCGAGAAAAAAATTAACGCCGTTAAAATGGGTTTGCGTTAACGCCGTTAATAAGGCGTTAAACTGACAGCCCTAGTGTTAATTATTATATCTAAAAAATAAATAGCATCTGAATTTAGGTTAAAAGTCTAGGCTACAAGCTTTAATGTTATAGTAATGTGTGGCTCCCTGTATAGGTTACAGCATTAGCAGATTTTTTTTTAATCCTTGTGAAACGTTTAAAAGTAATTGAATTAATAAAAAGACAATTTTTTTTTCATTTAACCACTGTTTAAAACAAAGCAATTTTAGCTTTAAAACAGTGGGAAAACCAAACCGTCAGTTTTGTGTATCGTTACACCCCTAATAAATTCTCTTTGAAATTGCACAATATATGGATAAAACCAAAAAAAACAAAGTAAATGGATGAAACAAAGGAATGAACCTGGCATCAGATGCGAAGTAGTATTCCACAGCTTTCTCGTCCACAGGAAATAGACACGTGTCCTGGTCCAACCTGGGCAGAGTACTGCAGCTCTTTTTATCTTTACCAGCTGTATAAAAGATACAAACAACATGATCATTTATCAGAACGTGACAGGGGAACACTATTTTGTGTAACTCTAAAAAGAATATATGCAGGAATGATATTTATGACACAAGTAAAAGTTAAACAAGTTATGCATGACATCATACTAAAATGCATATTGTACATATCTTGTTTTTGCCACTATATGAATGCTTATTAATCGGCCATCAAATTTTCGGCCATATCTGAAAGGAATTTACTTCCATTGGACAAAGACGGGCCGATGGAATCTTGCTCAATTATACACGTCAGTTTTTTGCAAATGTAAATTTTGCTGAGCACAGTGTGTGCAAACTCACCGGAGCGATACAGGATGGGGATGTGATCTGTGGAAAGCTTGTGGTCACTTCTAACTCCAATCAGTAATGGACCTCCTCTCCTAGACGGAAGCACAGAAACATTTGTTTGAGAAATTAAAACGAGAATTATGTTAAAAAATTGATATGGCTGATTTGCTTTTAGTTGTTTTGTAATATGGTGCCGTTGATGACTTTCAAGCGATTGGCAATTCTTTTTTTTAGTAAACGCATTCAACCACATCAGATCAAATCAGTTTCAAAATAAAAGTCTGTTTGAAAGGTGATATTTCTGTTTGAACTTGATTTGAGGATGGCTTGAGTTGATTTGAACTTGACATGTGAAGTTTTCCTGTTTGTATGAATACAAATATTCCACGCAATAATACACAGATTGTATATTTCTCTAGCTGCAACAAAACGTGGGGAAAAAAACTGAAATCAAAGCAAACCTGAAATAATTTAATAATAAAACTACTTTGCTCACACTTTTTGGACAAGCTTACACGTGTAAAGATAATTTGCTGCTGGACTAGCCCTCAACAGGTGTTGACACTGCATTTCTATGAAAGGGCTTTCACTTGTGCCTTGATAATTACATTTTGGTATCACTTTACAACAGGGTACCATTAGTTAACACATTAACAAGAGTAAACTAACAATGAGCAATTGATTTGTTACAGTATTTATTCATTTTTGTTAATAAATGTAGTGCGGTAGTTCATGTTAGCTCAAATCTATTAAATAATGTTAAAGGTACACTATGTAATTTTTTTTTTTTTCAAAATTTCAATAATCAACATCAGACCTTTTACCATTCACTATGGTAAACCTATTAATTGCTTATATTTTAGACCTGTCTGGATGGTTTTTGTGGAAAAATGCTTAAATGCGTCACTCAATCTGTAAATGGAGAAAAGATGGTCGAGTTCCTTTGACGAGTGACTGGCGTAGGGATGTCACGGTACAAAGATTCTAGTAGTCGGTACTGATACAATTAAAATAGTAAACGGTTCTCGGTACCAATTTCGGTACCACATCAAAATCAGTTTGAACTATTTTCCCAATTTTTTAAAACTATTTGAAGAAAATATTAAATTCAATGACGACTATTTATGACTGTTTAAACGGAAATATTGATGATATTGAGAAATATTGCTTATAAAAAATAAAAAAAAAATCAAGTGATAAACAATATAAGCAAAATAAGCAACCTTCTACGCACATATTATTATTATTATTAGTAGTAGTATTTTTAATTAATGGAGACGTAGTTAAATCTATTGTACAGTAGCCTAATGTAATTATTGCTGTCTATTTCTTTAAGTTAAACCAAACTTTAATTTTGACGGGTTGCCGTGAAGACCTTTGAGTTTCTGTGATATGGCGATAGTTTTTCTCGAATGAAACGGTAAAGTGCTCATGAAGTGACTCTCAGATTAATTGAATCATGAGTCATGTCATCATATTGTGAGGCAGCAGAGACTGAAAACTCGTGCTTCAGTGTGTGTGTGAGGTAACGTTAAATGAAACTACGCGTCTGAACCGTTCATTCACACAGAGACGAGCAGAACATGCAGGGTTCATATTTAAATAGTCGTTTTGCAGTTTAATATACGCAGACATCACATCAGCAGCGCCGCCGGTCGCCATGTCTCAGCGCTTTCATGAAGAGGACGCAACTTCACGCCCTTCGTGCATGCATGCACATGCAGAACTGGGTTTGACCGAGTGCTCGCTAGATACGATACTTGGTACCGTGACATTTTATTTTTTTAGTACCGACTTGGTACCGAATATTTTGATCAACACTAGTCTGCCGTGGGAGTGCCAGGGGTTAGTTGTCACAACGACGAGCGAGAAAGGCTGACTTGAAAATCATGATAAACCTACGAGGAATCGCCCGTTTAAAAAAAAAAAACACATTTATTTAAGCACATATGTTGACTAAGTTTATCAGGTTGATGTTACCTGCTGCCTACTGTCTCTCCTGGATAGTGCACACTTTTGAAGACAAGGACGAAAGCTCCTTCCTAAATAGAGAAGGCATTTATTACCACATCATTCATGAGCTTTAGATCCTCTCTTGTCAAGGTGACAGAAAAGTGTTTACTAGTTGTTGGGTGACTTGTTCAACGAGGGTGGCGAAGGTGATGTCGCTCTCCCGGTTGTCATACATGTACTTCAAAAGCTTAGCGATGGTCTCTGTATCCGTCTCAGACTCAAACTCATAACCTTTACTCTCCTGAACACATAAAAACACAAGTGGTCAATGCGTTGGTTGTTTGAATGAATGGATGGACAGAAGATGCCAAAATGTTTTACTTGCCAGAAACTTCTTCAGGTCTTTGTAGTTGGTGATGATTCCATTGTGGATGACAATAAACTCTGCAAGCAAATTAAATAAATCAAAATGATCCATTCTTTCACAGATTTGTCCAACTAAACAATTGTAATGAAAAGCAGGCTGTTGGTAACAGACCGTTGTTCTTGTCTGATCTTTGCGGGTGGCTGTTGACAGGGCTGGGGGCTCCGTGAGTGGCCCATCGAGTGTGAGCGATTCCCAGGTGCACATCGAACTCCACATCAAGATCAACATCCTGCTGCCCTGTGAAAGAACATGTTCAAATACAAACTGATCATCTCATATTTCAAATAAATAGTGCCATGGTCACACTTAATAGAGATATATAGAAATAGAAATGAAGAGCTCTTTTCCAAAACGCGATAAACGCCATTTAAAAAAAAAAAAATGAGTTTGTCGTGTCATTCTGCTGTGGACAGAACCCTTTCGCTGCTCCATCAACGTTTCATGCCAAATCGCTATATTTCCCTGTTTAAAATGAACGGCAAGATACAGTTTCTTTCCAAAACGCGATAAGCGCCAGCCCTGTTTTTAGCCAAAACGCGATAAATCCTCGAATTCGATGCAATCCAGCACGGCGGCACTCTTTTGTTTATGTTCATTCATTCCTCAAAATGAGTCCTAGTTTTCTAGTCGACTAGAAGTAGATCATTTAAGCCATTTGTCTAATCAGTAATCATATATTGATTTAATTAAATAGGAGAGAAACCATATGAGCGTATTTAATTGCCTTTTCCGCATCTCAACGCATGCATAAAGCTTGCCACAAAGAATGTTTATGCATGAAACATTTGAATTGTTTATTAATAAACTAGTGTTTTTTTTTGTCAGTGTCAGCAGCAAAGATAAAGTTGATGATGCTTACTTATCTTGCCATCTTCGCAGTGAACGCGCATAGGCCTATAGAAACGCATACTTCGAATTAGCCTACATACGCAGAGAGTTGCCAATTTATTTTCGTTTTTAATTGTTTTGTTTAAAAGTAGATATTTAAAGATTTCTGTAGCTTAGTTCTCAGGTCTGTGAGGCAAGCATCGCGGTGTTTCGGTTCATAATATGAGACGCGCTCCGGTTCACCTGCGCGCCTCTGTGTCCTGATTATATTGTCTGATATTTGCTTCTAATGTTTTAATCCAGTCAATTTGTCGATGAAACATTTATTAAAATGAAGATACAATTTATATCAAACGAAATTTACAAGCTTTCTACAAAACAAAACTAAATAAGTGGTCAAAATCATGTCTGACCCACTCCAAATATTTTCCGATATTGGGCAGCTTTTGAATTTTGATCCTATCTTACTCATCTCATGCGGTTCCCTTTTCATAGCCTACTCAACATAGATGAAATAAGTAACGTAATATTATTAAACACAAATGTGAAACGTATAGCCTATGTTTTTTTTGTTTTTTTACTTATATTTAAGCGTCACGCCGCTCCGCTTTGCTCACATGCTATGTAGCCTATACATGTGTGTGTGTGTGTGCATGTGCTGGAGGGGTGCCCATCCCTTTTTTGAATATATCGTTATCATTATTGATCATTTTTAAATAATAATTTCATGCATATGTTGAAATTGGTACTATTTGTTTGAGGTTTGACACTTTACTAAAAATGACTTTACTAAAAATAATACAAAAAATGGATGGATTTATAGCGTTTTGAAAAAAAATAAAATTAACTTTTAATTTATCATTAACAATATTGTTGTTTGATTTAATAATCATTGTTCAAAATGTTCAGACTGAACCAATAAAACATTTCAACAGGATAATTTGAATATTCACAAAATGTGTGGGTCTAGGTAAAAAATGTAGTTTTCCTTAAAACTATTGAAATGGATTTATAGCGTTTTGGAAAAGAGCTCTTCAAATATTCTTTACACAAGTATGCATGCACTTGGCCAATGCAACCCATTGTACATGTAAAAGAAAAGGAGAAATCTAGTTTAAAATAACACAGTCTCATCCCAAAAAGTCATATAACTGACGTTTTGGGACGTATTTTGACCATACGTCAATATCCGCCTTTTTAGGGCCCCCTTAAACGTCGGTAGATGGCGATCCCGGGCCGTCATACAACTGACGCTTTACCTTTAACGTCAGTTAGGTGACGGGTTAGGTTTAGGTATGGGGTAGAGTTAGGATCCCATAACCTCATCTACCGACGTTTAAGGGGGCCCTAAAAAGGCGAATATTGACGTATGGTCAAAAGACGTCCCAAAACGTCAGTTATATGACGTCATGGGATGAGACTGGGTTGTTTAAAACACGTTCTTCGAAATGTAAAATTGTATAATGTATAATTTGGACTACCATTGGAAAATGTTTATCACTTACTAGCCATATCTCTAAGTTGTGGTTCGATTTCCCAAAGTTCAGCCCGCTAAATGGTTTTAAAGTACGTGATAATGCAATGTCCAACTTCAAAACATTTTTCACAGGATGAATTTTCAGTGTTAAACTTCCGAATGCTAATTTATGATGATAACTAAAATATGTGCAAGGGGGAAAAAAAAGCAGTAAAAAAAAAGAAGCATGCCAAGTGCTTTAGTTTAATGACTCATGTGATGTAAAAAGTAACCAAAATAAATTTACCACAGCTTAAATACACATGAATGTGCACTTCTAAATATATTTTCCACAGTAAAAAGTATTTTTACAATATTATGAATCAATTAGGGATGGGCAACTTACCGACAATTTTTTAATCGTTAATGCAGTTTTTTTATTATTATTATTTTGATTATTGTTAAATCAATAAAAATAATTACTCAATTTTGCGCGCAACAATGCGATTAATTGCAAGAAAATCGTGCAAATAAAAAATCAATCAGCAAAATCATCGCGATTAAAACTTTTAATCGTTGCCCAGCACTCGAATCAATAATTTATTACCACTGTTTTGTGGGGCACACAGCACATGACTTTGATTTTAAGGACAAATGTTTTTCATGTTTTATTAAACAGGGATGCAGATTTTAAAAATGTTAAAACGTTTTTATTTTCCTTGCAAGAATTGGATAGTTGTGTCATCTTGACATTTTTATTGTCATTGTCACATTGTTAACACATTGATGTTGGTTTCAGCAGTCACTTGCTCATCAAGATTATCAACTGTTTATTAGTATAAGAAACAGGAACTAGAAGACAGTTTTCACTGATGCACACTACAGAGCTTTTTGCAGCAATGTTGAGAATGAAATACACACTTCAATGTGTTGTGGCACATTAACTTGTGAAGTTGAGCTTCTAGAAGCGTTCTCATATTGGCATGAGGCGTGTTTTGGGCCTTAAAGGAGTAGTTCACTTTTGAAAAAACTTTTGCTGATATTTTACTCACCCCCATGTCATCCAAGATGTACGTGTCATTCTTTCTTTAGTCGAAAAGAAATTAAGGTTTTTGATGAAAACATTACAGCATTTTTCTCCATATAATGGACTTCAATGGGAACCAAACGGTTCAAGGTCCAAAAGACACTTTCAGTGCAAACTGCAAACTTGATAAGGGTCTTATCAAGCGAAACGATTGCTCATTTAAAAAAAAAAATGGTTTGGTTCACTGAATGAACGAGTTGACTCTTGAAAAGATTCATTCATTTTGATAAACGAGTTCGAACAGGAGAGTCACTAATGTACATCGCAGTACAGGGCAAGGCAAGCATTTGAGCTTATAAAACTTAAACTTTGTTCTTTTTTTTTTTTAAATGAGCGACCGTTTCGCTTGATAAGACCCTTATTCATCGCCAGGAATCGTTTAAAGCCCTTTGAACAGTTTGCAGTTTGAACTGAAAGTGTCTTTTGGACCTTGAACCGTTTGGTTCCCATTGAAGTCCATTATATGGAGAAAAATCCTGGAATGTTTTAATCAAAAACCTTAATTTCTTTTCGACGGAAGAAAGAATGACATGGACATGTCGGATGACATGGGGGTGAGTAAATTATCAGCAAATTTTTTTTTAAAAGTGAACTACTCCTTTAACCTGAACCTGCAAAATGAGCACAATTACTTACGGTGGATTTCATCATCCAAGGCTTTCACTTTTCCTGTTTGTTTGATCAGGTGGATGCTCTTGGAGTTGGCTTCCCATTCCTTACTGTTTCCACCATCAATACCCACACCTGCAAGACAGAAACAAAACACTACTTTCAAGATCAGTGGGTCCTGTTCCAGAAGAGCTAATTGTAAGTCTGTGTGTCTTTGTGTGTGTTCAGTTTTATGAGCCGTGTGTTCCTGACCTGCGGAGTCATAGCCACGGTACTCCAGGCGATGCAGACCTTTGATAAGGACCTCAAGGATCTCACGGCGGGTGCGAGGCACGTGATAATTCAGATAGGCAAAGATTCCTTCAGAGAGAAAAAGAAAGTGTGTTTTACAGTATGGACAGCAGGGTTTCCGTTGTCCGGTAATTACCAAAAAAAATTAAATGTCCGACAACATTAAATCTCTCTGGTCAAATTATCCGATTAAAATGGCCTAATAATCCCGCCCCCTAACACAATCTGAATAGATTATGTATTTATATATATATATATATATATATATACAGAATTTAAGCACAAATAATTCTTAAATATATACATGCATACATACGTATTTATATACAAAATAATTACATATAATATACAGCACACACAAATATATTATGTAAACACAGACTTTTATTTTGGATGCGATTAATAGCAATTCATTTTTGGACAGCCCTAATTTTTTTTATTTATCAAATGGTTTATTTCAAAGCTGCGGTCCGAAAATTTTTCTCTTTGTCACCATCTCTGTTCGAAATCTGCAGCTGCAGTTATTCACGGAATTATCATCTTTACGTGGGTTGTAAATCGGCATGAAACAGCACGCATGAACACAGTGTTTTGAGGCCAGTGCTGCTGTCAATCACCACACTGTGTGGATACTAGAGCCAGACCGATATATCGGCAGACCGATATTATCGGCCGATATTAGGCATTTTCCAAACTATCGGTATCGGCAGTTATAATGGCCGATAAACTAATATTTCAAAAATAAAATAAAAACGGACGAAACAAGCTTGAACCATGTCATGAGTGTTGGAGTTGTATGGTTTGTCCACCAGAGGGCACTCTACACCGTTCCTGTTGGCAACACTCGTTGAGTTGGTCACGAGACACACATTGCTTGAATAACAATTAAAAGAACATCCCCATCAGTTCTCTTAACTCAAATAAGCATGACAAAATTCGTGACTATCTTGCCCAGTTTCAAATAAATAAATAAAATATCGGCCGATATATCGGAATATCGGATTTTAAAACCCAAAAATATTTGTATCACTATCGGCCTTCAAAATGCTTTATCGGTCGGGCTCTAGTGGATACTGTCATTCAGAATCACAGATTCACTTTTTGAAAGTTTGACCAACATAATAAATTTCACCGAAAAATGTCTTCTGAACAAGTAACATCCACTTTTGTTCTGATCAACTAAGGGGGAAAAAGCATTCGACATAAGCTTCGTTAGATTGAATCAATGCGATTTATAGCAACTGTGCAAATTAGAGCCTACTTTCTCAAATTGTTCATGTTAACAACATCAGCATTGCGAGACTAATGTTACATTTAATGCTTTATGTAAGAATTTTTATGGTTTTATAGTTCAGAATTCATATTCTCCATAATAGCAAAACGAGAAAATCCAAATCCATCTTAAATCCACCTTAAATCCAAAGTACGAAGTCTTTTGGGTTTTATAACTGCTGAATCTCCAGTTGACACTGATGATAGTTGTTTGGATCTTTCCGGATGCCATTTAATTATTTAAAGTGCTGCGAGAAATCTCTTCACGCGCAGTATAGCCGGCTAGCCGTAACTCCTTCTTTACGTGTACGGATGTGACGTAATGACGCAAAGACATGATCGAATTTCCCGCGGAAACCCACCAGTACCACTGGAATTAAAATCATTATTACAAGCTAACCGTTTTGAATCTAGCTATGGCAAGCAGATAGTTTTGACCACTGGCAGAATATTTTTTTTTTATATATATATATATATATATATATAATTATTTTGGATTATTTTTAACTTAAAAAAGTTACGGACAGCAGCTTTAACGTGCAAAGTGCAAACAACAGCACAGAACAGATCCCCAACAGAACCTGGATTCAGATCAAATGTTCACGCACCATTCTGACTGAGAAAAACTGAATAAAATAATACGAATAAAAAACATAAAATTGGCCAAATATATTTTTTTTACTTAATAACAAATTAAGATGACACAAAAGAAAACACTGAATCAGTTTGAATCAACTTTCAAAAAACTGGACATTTTTTCCCGTTAGACTAGGATTTTGAGTTAAATAAAAATAGCAGTCCTACCTCACTCAATCCACACAGAGATGTTTTTATCTCAATGTGACGTTAACACGCTTGGAAACAACGAGTGCGTTGCTTCCATTAACGCACATACCGCGCGCCTACATTTGAAATAACGAGCGCGCAAAAGACGTGATATGTGAACAGGCCCTTACGCGGCTTTGCGCATTGCAGGTTGTGGAGAGACACTGGGAAGTTTTGATTTTATGTCAGCAGCTGGACAAAATGTCACAGTCTTAATTACTTTTTACAAAAAGCTTTTTTACATTGTTTGGTTGTGTACAGTATTTAATAGCCAGATGAAAATTTATAGTTAACTTGATAATGATATCTAAAAATATAACATATAAAGAAGTAGGGTTGGGTATCGAGAATCGAGTATCGATTGGAATCGGGACTAACTTTTTGTTTTTCCCGGAATCGTTCAAAAGTTAAAATTTCGATTCCTAGTTTCGATATTCACAGTCCGCCGAGCGGAAGAAGACTTTCACTTTTCTAAAAATAACAAAATCTCGGCAAAATGCAAAATTTGTGACTAAAGGAGTATTTGTGACAGAAGGAGAATTTCCATCAGAAAGGATTATTTCCTTCCGAAAGGCCGTTGGTTAGCAAGGTTAGCTAAACTTTTTTGACCCTGCCTCTTAAAAGAATCGGAATCAAGAATCGTCAGGAACCGGAATCGAAACAAGGAATCGGAATCGTTCAAATTCAAACGATACCCAACCCTATAAAGAAGGCATGACTACTTATTACAATAGTTCGTCACATTCAGTAATTCATACTAACATTCGTTCGTTCGTTGTGTCAAGTTGCTGATTGTTTGAAATAACAAACCTGTTCACCCGAATGAACACTCGATGAAGTGCTATTAGAAGACATCCTTTCATAGCTTTTAGGTACATAACAGCTACCGTAGATGCAACGCGCATTCGAAAAAGCGAGGCGCTGGAGAGCACTATTCATTTGAATGCAAAATACATTTTCACCACTAGATGGGAGAAATTCCTACACATTGTCCCTTTAAGAAGGCCACACAAAGGGGTTTTGGAACTGGGGCGGGGGAACAGCATCTCTTTGACAACCCTCATCATCTTATCTAGTGCAACTCAACCAGCAGCTCACACTACGTTATGCTACTTCTGATTAATTGCATTCATTTTAAGGACGAAAAAACAAAAACTTGTAAGAAAGCTAAAGCTTTCATTAAATTTCCATAAAACTTTAACCAAAATTAAAAAAATATATATATATTTCAGTGTTTAGGCCTAAGTCTTCAACATATTTAGAACATAAAAAAAATGCAAACTGCTTTTGCTATTCTTTGGGAAACTTCAGTGGCTCTAAAAACAGCACAGCAAACAATCAGTTAAGAAAGTGAAAGACTCTCCTAGACGAAGTGACAGCTAGACAAAAGTATAAAATATGCAACGCAAAGAGTGATGTCAATACTGATAATAACACAAGACAGTGCTAAAGAAGACCGGTTTGATTCCTTTTAAATGACACTGAGGACAGGCGCTAGAAACATGCAAATCAACAAAATACATCCCCACAAACAAAAAAGTGGTACTATGAAGATGCAATAAAGAAGCCTAATAGAAAGAAACATGGAAAAAAAAAATCAATGTTCAGCTCAGCAAAATCTGGTGTTAAAAGCGAAACGAGGAAAGTGAAAATAAAGAAAATGACTGTCTGGTATAAATGCTCCTATATTCATAGGGGATACATATACTCCAAGTACAGCACTATGAAAGGACAGAAACATCACAAAAGCACCATTCAGTGGTCTGCACTCGTGTGTGTGTGTGTGTGTGTGTGGTAGTCAAACAAGGCTCTGCTTTATTAAGACAGATGACTCGACACACTAAAATTAACGAAGAATGGATTGTTAATAGTTTCATCCCCCTATACCTTTAAAAAAATAATACTTGGTACTAAATCTTGGTACTTTACAGTCCCTTTTGATCAATTTAATGCGTCCTTGCTTGCATGAAAGTATTAATTTCCTCTTCAAAACGTTTTACTCGTCATCCTTAACTATTGAATAGTGTAGCTAACTTTAGGGAATTTTTTTATAAAACATTATGAAGAGTAGTACTTCATGTTTCCAAATAACTTACATTAAAAGGGACAATAATCTAAACAGTTAACATATTATTTTTTTTACTTTAGTTACTAACAAGGTAATGTTTCTTGTAGAAAAAAAATATATAATTTAGATTCACAACTATTTTCCGACCCTCTCTTTGACCCATAGAATTGAACAGTGTTTTGTAACTGTACCTGTGTGTGTGTAAATAACCATCTATACAGTGTGTAAACAATATGTCTATGACCTTTAAAGTAGGCAATGTCTACAATCTAGAACACATCTGATCCAAAACGTTAGACTATTAATCGCTTTGTGAGTTTTTGACGGCCAGAAATCCCTGCCGTTCGTTAAGGTTGTGTCTGCAATCCCTGAATGTCTTGTCTATCTTAAGGAGAGGTCACACAGATTTAGCTTATCTGAAAAAAACTCTGGGAAAAGAACTTCCAGCTGGTCGTTCTATCTCTCTTTATCACTTCCTTACCTCTGTAAGCTATTCAAGCCCTTTTCCTCAGAGGTTTTAAAAGCACAGCCTAAGTTAAAGGGATAGTTCACCCAAAAATGAAAATGCTGTCATCATTTACCCATGCCTCAGTTGTTCCAAATCTGCATTTTGGCTGAACACAAAATAAGATATTTTGAATAATGTTGGTAACCAGACAGTTAATGGTAGCCAGTGACTTTGATAGTAGTTTTTTTTTTTTTTTAATTTGTCAGTGGTTATCATCAACTGTCTACTTACCAACATTCTTCAAAATATCTTCTTTTACACAAAAACAGTATGTGCCTGTGCCACCCAAACAAACCTGAATTAGAGGTGTGGTCGTTTTAAATGACGTTGTGTGACTTGTTCCACTGGAAAGAGTTGTCTGATCATCTATAAATGATGGGATGTTTGGTGTTGAATGAATAGACACTATGGTAAACAATATGTATCTTATCAAACAAGATTACACAGTGTGCTTTGCGGTAATATATTATCTAGCAGCTAGATGGTTTAATGAAACAAGAAATGTATGAACAAACTCATAGGTTCAAAGAACTTTGAATATTAATACATTAAGGGCAGGTCTATCTAGAAAACGTTTTAGCACCATAACCGCGTTCGTGATGCCCAAAATGCTGTCTATGAAGTATGTAGGCGGCTCACTATTGTAGATGTTCAGACAGCCTCTGTCAGATGCTAAATGCTAGTAGATATTCCCTCCGGCTTTTATATCTGCCTATTACTCTCCAAACCTCTTTAATCTATGACGCGTGTAGCTTAAATAAATGTCACGTATATAATTAGTTGAAATATAACATAAAAATGTAGCTTTCATTGCTGTACTCACCACACATGTCTCCGTTTCTGCTGCCAAAAGCGGTTTAGTTCCTCGTTCTGAAAGGCTGTCAGTGAAAACCCGCCCACAATGATTGTTATTGGTTGTCATTGGCCGCGCCTCGATCTCGGCCCCGGTGATTGGCTGATTCGGCTGTCTGTCTTTCAGTTACCTGCCAACAGAGTCTGTTTAGACGTGGCAGCAGGATGCGAGTCCGCCGTCACCGTGTCGCGGTAAGTGATGAAAATGGCTTCATCTTTAGGTAAATATTTTCTTTACACACACACACACACATAATATAATCTATCTATATATATATATATATATATATATATATATATATATATAAATATAATATATATAAAATAATATATATATATATATATATAATATATATATATATATATATATATATATATATATATATATATACACACACACACACACACACACACACACACACACACACACACCGGTCAAAAGATTTTTTTATGTTTTTAAAAGAAGTCTCTTCTGCTCACCAAGGCTGCAATTATTTGATAAAAAATACACAAAAAAACAGTAATATTGTGAAATTTTATTACAATTTAAAACAGCGGTCTTCTATGTGAATAGTGAAGTGTAATTTATTCCTGTGATGAAAGCTGAATTTACAGCATCATTACATCATATACGCATGATCCTACAGAAATTATTATAATATGATGCTCAAGAAACATTTATGATTATTAGCCATGTTGAAAACAGTTTTTTAAAATTTTATTTCAGTATTCTTTGACGAATAGAAAGTTCAAAAGAACAGAATTGATCTGAAATGGAAAGCTGTTGTAATCACTACCATTCAAAAGTTTGGGGTCAGTAAGAATTAGTTTGTTTTTTTTGGGGGGGGGGAAGAAATTAGAAAATACTTTTATTCATCAAGGAGTTGTTAAATTGATCAAAAGTTACAGTAAAGACATTTATAATGTTAGAAAAGATTATATTTTAAATAAACGCTGTTCTTTTGAACTTTCTATTCATCATAGAATTTTGGGGGGGAAATGGTACACGACTGTTTTCAACATTGAAAATAATAATTTATGGTTTTTGAGCATAAAATCAGCATATTGTGTGACACTGAAAACTGATGTGTAATCAGCAATGATGTTGAAAATTCAGCTTTCAAATTACATTTTAAAATGTATTCAAATAGAAAAGTCATTTTAAATTGTCATATTTCACAATATTATTGTTTTGTCATTTTTTTTTTCATCTAATAAAGCAGACTTCATTTAAAAACATGAAAAATCTTACTGTTCTAAAACTTATAATGCAGAAAATAATGCAGATAAACAATGGACAATGTTGCATTGTGAGCAACAATTTGGATTTTTTTTTTTCCAAATAAAATATTATTTTATCCTTGAATATATGTTCAGAACAAGTCAACACTGGAAAATTGTGGAGTGCACATGTGGAAGCACAAAAACTTTAATTCCAGAGGGTTAGACCATACGTTTGTGAAATAGTTTCATAAAGATCTGCCATCTCTCACATACATAAATGTATTTTTACAGCAACAAAAACATCCAGTTGAGATACACTCAGAAACCCATGTCTCTTGAAGGATCAACGTGTGTTTAGCTTCAAGACAGCGGTCATACATCAATGTAGGATTTGTGCTGGTTAGATGCAGTCCAGATGAAGTAGGGATGAAGTCTGAGCTTTGAAATATATGCAACTAAGCTTGCTCAGTAAACCCTAATCATTTATCATCATTACTTCATCTCCGGCTTCCTTTTGGGTACCAGACAAAATACAGGTTTGTTAACTGATTTTGGCTTTTAGAAAACACTTCTTGCCAACTGTTTTTGAGCATCAAACAAAACAAATGTCTTCTGATAGGATCTGGTAAACAGACTGAGACTGGATCCAATATTCCTGGAGTGGAGATTTGAGCCAGATATAGGCAATCTGACACTTTTAATGTTTTGTACTTTGTACACACCTTTTCAAGTGAGGGTCAATTCTTAAACCACTAAAAACATTTTTTTTTCTCAATTTTAATACAATATTATCAACCAAAGAAAAAAAAAAAACATGGTTTGTGAACTGCTCAAACTAAACCACTGTGAGTCCATGTCATGTTTATTAACTGTACAATTACAGTTATGAATATTAACGTATTCTGCGACTGATGACAGTTCATGTAAACAAGAGTTCCTGGAAACATGGCTGATCTCAAATGATCTTGACAACGGGGAAGTATTTGTGTGCCGAAAAGTCAAATTCAGGAAGGACCTGCAAAGGACAAACACAAGGATGCAATGAATTTCACATTATTACATTTCATCTATATGCGAAACGTCACAAAGCTCATGAGCGACGGCTCGTGGTACCATCACAGAGAGCTTTAAAATCACTCTCCTGAACTGTTTAACCTAAAAATATCAAAATGGAAAAATATCAAGAACGGTTTGACCTAAAAATATCAAAATTGAAACTACTGCGAAAACAAGACACCTTCATCTTGGATGCCCTTGAGGAAAGCTAAAACATACCAAAAATTAATTACAAAGTGAACTATCCCTTTAAGTGCAATACTAAAAACACAATATTATTTTTACAAACTGAGAGACATATCAAACATATCATACCTTAGTTTCCTTTTTGTGTCCTCCAGCCAGCAGTTTCATTACAACAATATTGGGTTTGGCCACTTTAAGAATGCGGTTAACCTACAGCAGAAAGCAAAATACCGCAATATTACACAATATATAAAATTGACAATGTAAATATTAATGTAACACTATATGACTTCACATTATCCATTGTACATAATCATTTTGTTTCCATCCATCACAAAGAAAATATGAGTCATTTTTTAAATTTAAATTTTAATATTATTTTTAATAAAGGCATTATGTAGGCTGAATATCCTCCAAAAATAGCAACAGTGTGATATACTGTATACACGAAGATTAAAACAGGTCCGTAAGTTTTTTTTTTACAACTTTAATTCAGCAAGGATCTATTAAACTAATCATAAATTACAGGAAAGACTTTGGCATGGTTGTGAAAAACTTCTTATAAATGTAATGTAACTTTCTAATAATTAAAAAATACTTAAAAAAGGATCACGCTTCAGACAAAAACCAGCTTGTTTTCAACCGATAATAATAAGAAATGTTTCAAATCATTATATCAGAATGATTTCTGAAGGATCATGTGACACTACAAAAAAAATTTATTTTGTATCTCAGAAAGAAATTACATTTAAAAAAAAAAAAAAAACTATTTCTACCACCGTATTTATTTGTGTTAATAAGACTGGACTAGCTTCCAAAGCAATAGAAGGACTGTTTGAAATGTACCTCTGCATCAGGGCTGGTGACGCTTTCAAGTATAAGTTTGGCCTGCTGGAAATGTTTACTGGCTGCCATATAGAGATCCGCTGAGCGAGGAGGAGGATTGTACTTCTTCAAATCTGACATTTCCTACATTCACACACACACAGTTTACTTTAATCTTTGGACAGGATAGTTGCAGCAAACATGAGCTTGAAGTGAGTAAAATCAGAGCTACCTTAAACTGGATGTAGTGCACTGGTGGCGGTGTGACGACACTGTTGAAAGGGGCGAATCGATGCTCGTAGCGAACCTGCTCGCTGTCCAGTTCAAACTGAGGTTTGCGCACCTTTCTGTCCATATCCAACGCTATCATGGTCTGCAGAAATAAACACTTAGTTTATTCTCAAAATACAATTCACACACATACAATGGGTCTCATTCATGAAACACGAGCAGAACGAATTTGTGTGTAAATCGTGTGTAAAGTGGTTCTGGCGTAAATTTTCGGATTCATTAAAACGTTCGTATTTTCCAAATGTTAGTTGGTACGCAAGAAATCTACACCTGCTCCCAGCCACGCGTAAATGGTGCGCTTAACATCCGAACATTTTGCTCATTAATAAGGCTGCATTTTAATTCACCTTAATCGGTACTTATTTAAACAGCATTTTGAAAAAAATATTTTATATAGTAATTACATATTTATTATGAGAGCCAGTAATTTATGGAAGCTTGTTTCCACCACTGAATAAAAAAAAAATAATAATAATAATTGCGACTTTTTATCACACAATTGCGTGTTATAAAGTCAGAATTGTGAGATGTGAAGTCAGAATTGCGAGATGTAAAGTCAGAATTGCGAGATGTAAAGTCAGAATTGCGAGATGTAAAGTCAGAATTGCGAGATGTAAAGTCAGAATTGAGAGATGTAAAGTCAGAATTGCGAGATGTAAAGTCAGAATTGCGAGATGTAAAGTCAGAATTGCGAGATGTAAAGTCAGAATTGCGAGATGTAAAGTCAGAATTGCGAGATGTAAAGTCAGAATTGCGAGATGTAAAGTCAGAATTGCGAGATGTAAAGTCAGAATTGCGAGATGTAAAGTCAGAATTGCGAGATATAAAGTTAGAATTGAGAGATGTAAAGTCAGAATTGCGAGATGTAAAGTCAGAATTGAGAGATGTAAAGTCAGAATTGCGAGATATAAAGTCAGAATTGAGAGATGTAAAGTCAGAATTGAGAGATGTAAAGTCAGAATTGCGAGATATAAAGTCAGAATTGAGAGATGTAAAGTCAGAATTGCGAGATATAAAGTCAGAATTGCGAGATATAAAGTCAGAATTGAGAGATGTAAAGTCAGAATTGCGAGATATAAAGTCAGAATTGAGAGATGTAAAGTCAGAATTGCGAGATGTAGTCAGAATTGAGAGATGTAAAGTCAGAATTGCGAGATGTAAAGTTAGAATTGCGAGATGTAAAGTCAGAATTGAGAGATGTAAAGTCAGAATTGCGAGATGTAGTCAGAATTGAGAGATGTAAAGTCAGAATTGCGAGATGTAAAGTTAGAATTGCGAGATGTAAAGTCAGAATTGCGAGATATAAAGTCAGAATTGCGAGATATAAAGTCAGAATTGCGAGATAAAGTCAGAATTGCGTGATGTAAAGTCAGAATTGCGAGATGTAAAGTCAGAATTGCGAGATATAAAGTCAGAATTGCGTGATATAAAGTCAGAATTGCGAGTTGTAAAGTCAGAATTGCGAGATATAAAGTCAGAATTGCGAGATATAGTCAGAATTGCGAGATGTAAAGTCAGAATTGTGAGATATAAAGTCAGAATTGCGAGATGTAAAGTCAGAATTGCGAGATGTAGTCAGAATTGAGAGATGTAAAGTCAGAATTGCGAGATATAAAGTCAGAATTGCGAGATGTAAAGTCAGAATTGAGAGATGTAAAGTCAGAATTGCGAGATGTAAAGTCAGAATTGAGAGATATAAAGTCAGAATTGCGAGATATAAAGTCAGAATTGCGTGATATAAAGTCAGAATTGCGAGTTGTAAAGTCAGAATTGCGAGATATAAAGTCAGAATTGCGAGATATAGTCAGAATTGCGAGATGTAAAGTCAGAATTGTGAGATATAAAGTCAGAATTGCGAGATGTAAAGTCAGAATTGTGAGTTATAAAGTCAGAATTGCGAGTTGTAAAGTCAGAATTGCGAGATATAAAGTCAGAATTGCGAGATATAGTCAGAATTGCGAGATATAAAGTCAGAATTGAGAGATGTAAAGTCAGAATTGCGAGATGTAAAGTCAGAATTGAGAGATGTAAAGTCAGAATTGCGAGATATAAAGTCAGAATTGCGAGATGTAAAGTCAGAATTGAGAGATGTAAAGTCAGAATTGCGAGATATAAAGTCAGAATTGCGAGATATAAAGTCAGAATTGCGAGATGTAAAGTCAGAATTGCATGATGTAAAGTCAGAATTGCGAGATATAAAGTCAGAATTGCGTGATATAAAGTCAGAATTGCGAGTTGTAAAGTCAGAATTGCGAGATGTAAAGTCAGAATTGCGAGATATAAAGTCAGAATTGTGAGATGTAAAGTCAGAATTGCGAGATGTAAAGTCAGAATTGCGAGATATAAAGTCAGAATTGCGAGATGTAAAGTCAGAATTGCGAGATGTAAAGTCAGAATTGCGAGATGTAAAGTCAGAATTGCGAGATGTAAAGTCAGAATTGCGAGATGTAAAGTCAGAATTGCGAGATGTAAAGTCAGAATTGCGAGATGTAAAGTCAGAATTGCGAGATGTAAAGTCAGAATTGCGAGATGTAAAGTCAGAATTGCGAGATGTAAAGTCAGAATTGCGAGATGTAAAGTCAGAATTGCGAGATGTAAAGTCAGAATTGCGAGATATAAAGTCAGAATTGCGAGATATAAAGTCAGGATTGCGAGATATAAAGTCAGAATTGCGAGTTGTAAAGTCAGAATTGCGAGATATAAAGTCAGAATTGCGAGATATAAAGTCAGAATTGAGAGATGTAAAGTCAGAATTGCGAGATATAAAGTCAAAATTGCAAGATATAAAGTCAGAATTGCGAGATATAAAGTCAGAATTGCGAGATATAAAGTCAGAATTGCGAGATGTAAAGTCAGAATTGCGAGATGTAAAGTCAGAATTGCGAGATGTAAAGTCAGAATTGCGAGATGTAAAGTCAGAATTGCGAGATGTAAAGTCAGAATTGCGAGATGTAAAGTCAGAATTGCGAGATGTAAAGTCAGAATTGCGAGATGTAAAGTCAGAATTGCGAGATGTAAAGTCAGAATTGCGAGATATAAAGTCAGAATTGCGAGATATAAAGTCAGAATTGCGAGATATAAAGTCAGAATTGCGAGATATAAAGTCAGGATTGCGAGATATAAAGTCAGAATTGCGTGATATAAAGTCGCAATTCTGAGAAAAAAAGACAGAAGTGCGACTTTTTATCTCACAATTCTGACTTTTTTTCTCACAATTGCAAGTTTACATCTCGCAATTCTGACTTTATAACACATAATTGCGAGTTTATGTCGAAATTCTGACATCTTTTCTCAGAATTGTGAGATATAAACTCGCAATTGCGAGTTATCAGGCCAATTCTAAGGGGAAAAAAATAATAACTTTTTTCCTCTCAGAATAGTTTATATCTAGCAATTCTGACTTTACATCTCGCAATTGTGAGATTAATTAATTTACCTTTTTTATTTTTCATTCTATGGCGGAAACAAGCTTCCATAATAGCAGATCTGGTGATCAATGGTGGTCCTTCTCCAGTTTGAATACGATTTTTCCGAAGTGAACTAATTCTTTTTTTGCGGTCAAGCTTAACGTCAAACCATTTTCTTCTCACTTCTGGGACTGTTCGATTAACAGATGAAACTCCATTAACTGCATCTGTAATATGCTGCCAAGCTTCCTTTTTTTAGGACCTGATAGGCTACCATGTACGCTTGAAAAAAAATTGGCGTTTTGAATTAACTTCTGATAATAAAACTTGGGCTGGGTATCGATTCACATTTCAATTTCGATTCGATTTCGATTCTCGATTCCTGATTTGATTCTCGATTCGACTATAATGAAGATGTAATACAAATCCTATATTTATAAAAAAGAACAGTGGACATAAGTTTACTAGTGGTTAATTAATAGAAAGAAATTAAGAGCCATAAACCTGTATATAAAACTCTTTTTATTTTAGGTACACTAAATGCATACAAAGAATAAACAGGATTTTGATGCAATATGGAAAAAAAGTCAGAACAGTCGCACAGCTTGATCAAACAGTATCATGTTATTTTATGTTTAAGATAGATATAGATAAATAAATATATAAATATTTAGACTTTTTTTTTACATTGATCTTACCTAAATGGTATATAATTTTTTTGTTTATTTTTGTTTTTTGTTTTAAGAGTTTATGTATAGAAGCTTGATTTCAATCTTTGAATTAAATTGAAAAAAGTAGCACAAATAAATACAATAGAATAAAGACTACATTTTGGGGTAGTTTTTTGGGTATGTCAGAAATACTACAGAAACTGAATAAAGTAATCCAATGTAAAATAACACTGGATAGTCTTTTTAGTCCAGACTGAATTAAATACAAAGGCTTTTAATTCTGATTGCTTACAATTAATGCTATATTCTGTTGTTATGACAACAGAATTAATGACTGACACAAATGGCTGCGTTCACTTTAAGAACTAGTGTGCGAATCCATTACTGTTTCATTAACTTTCTGTCACACACGTTTAATGCTAATTTAAGACATTACCGACTGTCTTTACGAGGTTACTCACCAAGACCAGAATTTTGACATAATGTCGCGTGTTTTAACTGTTAAAGTGATATAATCCAGGGACAAAACTTTTGTTTCTGGCGAGCTGTTTGTGAGGCAGATTTAGGCTGTACTGTGCACGCAGTGAAAGACATCTCTGAGAGTGCGCGAGCATGGGATGGTTTAACATTGCTTGTAAAACACAAAAAGACGTGAAAATGATCAACGTTAGTTACGATCATAGGTTACGATGCAATGCTGGCCCGATTGTTAAGTGAATATTCCGTCATGTCCCGACTCCTGAACGCGTGTGTGTATCGACAGCTGCAGCGCTTGCCGCTTGCCTAGTGCAGAGAGACGAGAAGATGCAGCACCACGTCCGTGAGCCCTTTATACGGAAAAAATCGATTCGTGGCCGTTGAGGATCGATTTTGAATCGAACACATTTTAAAAAACGATTAATCGAAAAATCTATTTTTTTGCCCAGCCCTATCAATTTCTGCATCCGAGAAATCTTTCTTTTTCATTCGCATTCATGTTATTATATGCCTATATATAGATGTCAGTCGGATATAATGGGTGGGATTTATGGTAATTGATAATGAACGTGCACGCGCATCCCATTTACGACTAGTTGGAATTCATTAACACACACACATTTCACTATCACATCTGACGTTTACGAAGTATTTGTGAATCAGGAGAAGAGTTTTGGGGAAGGTCTCTTTACGCGCAAATCACTCTCATATTTACTCATATATTTACGAATGTTTCATGAATGAAACCCAATGACTCGAATCCACCACTTCAATGACAAGTATGTTTCTAATTTTGACATAAAAATTCATTTTCATTTGGAACAAAGTCAAAATTGTGATTTCAATTTCATTGTGTGTGTGTGTGTGTATCAGGAAGCATCACCTTGTACATGCCAGCACACATGTTCTGGTAAGCTTGGCTCATGGTGATCTCTTTACTCAGAGGACGAGCTGAGGAGACAATGAAAGCACAATAAGCGAGTCAGACCCAAACATCCCCATCCCATAGCAAGAGCAACCGTTGAATGAACGTCTGCCTGTGAGAACCTTTCTTCTTCTTCTTGCTCTTCTTGCTGCTTCGTACTTTCAGCTGCTCCTCCAGGATCCTCTCCTCTGCCATCTGAGAGCTGTCCGCTCGACTCAACGTGGACATGAGCCACGCATACAGGAACTCCGACAGATACCTGAACAAACATGGAGAGAAAGATATATCATGACTTTTTTTAACATTTATCTGACTCTCTGAATTTAACAGGCTGTTTAGCTACGGTCCCTTTAAGTGTATATGCAAATTACCTCTGTTTTGATTGGCTAACTTCTTCATGTGTAATACCAAAACCCGACATTAACGTGCTAGCACTTTGGATTTCATTTAGGGAATCTTTCACAGATGCTTATATATTAAAACTGTGGCTGATAATTCTATTAATATAGAGGGTATGCGTGTGACGTCACCGTCGGCCGGAGTGCCCGGAGTTCCTCACAATGAGTGGCAAAAAGACTGAGCGGCTGTATTTGTTGTCAGCGTGAATGCCGCGAAAAACAAACACAATATATAAAGTGGGAAAGAGCTTTCCGATTGACTGTACAACTAGATTTGACAAAAAAAAAGTCAGAGGTATATTTTTACAGACTGCTATAGAAAGAGGAGCAATTCACAGAAACAACTGGACTCCAGTCAGCGAAAGGTGGATTTGCAGTTATCATTTTGTGTCAATATGCTGAATTTAGCTGTAAAACCATCCCCATATACAGTGCCCTCCACAATTATTGGCACCCCTGTTTAAGATGTGGTTGAGGACTTTTAAAAATTCTCCCTTTTTTTTAAACAACATAGAACCCAAATGCAAAAAAAGAGAAAAATCCAACCTTTTATTTAAGTACATTACTTTGGTGGTAAAAAAAATGTAAAAATTTAGAAAAATAAAAACTTCAAATCCTGTGTCCCACAATTATTGGCACCCCTAACAATTCCGCTGAAAAATGTAATTGATTTTTAAAAAAAATATATTTTCTGTAGTTGCTAATGTTGGTCAGGATATCTAGGAACTTTTAATTAGTAATTCATGACTTCCTATTTCCCTGGGGTATAAATATGACATGACACAGAGGCCTAATTCTCTTACCCATTTGTCAACATGGCAAAGACAAGAGAACACACCATTCAAGTAAGGCAGATGTGTGATGACCTTTATAAGTCAGGCAATGGCTACAAGAAAATAGCCACTCACCTTATATTGCCCATATCTAAAGTTAGAGGAATCATTAAGAAGTTTAAAACAACAGGAACAGTGACAAACAAGGCTGAAAGAGGTCCCAAGTTTATCTTGCCACAACGCACTGTGAGGAGGATGCTAAGAAAAGTAAAAAAAAGTCCTAAGCTCACTGTCACAGAATTGCATCAAATAGTGGCATCTTGGGGTCACAAAATCTCCAAAACAACCATCAGACGCTCTCTACATGCCAACAAGATGTTTGGGAGGCATGCTAGGAAAAAGCCTTTTCTCACTAACACTGACAAACGTAAACGTCTGGAGTTTGCCAAGCGGCACTGGGACTTCATCTGGGATCGTGTGCTTTGGTCGGATGAGACTAAGATTGAGCTTTTTGGCAACAAACACTCTAAGTGGATCTGGTGTAAAACAAAAGATGTGTATGCCGAAAAGTACCTCATGCCCACCGTGAAGTATGGTGGAGGATCTGTGATGCTGTGGGCCTGTTTCTCTTCCAAAGGCCCTGGGAACCTTGCTAGGGTGCATGCATTATGAACGCTTTGAAATACCAGGACATTTTAAATAAAAACCTGATGGCCTCTGCCAGAAAGCTGAAGATGGGTCGTCATTGGGTCTTTCAGCAGGATAATGATCCAAAACGTGTGGCAAAATCTACACAAAAATGGTTCAGTCACAAACTCAAGGTCCTCCCATGGCCATCTCAGTCCCCAGACCTCAATCCAATCGAAAACCTGTGGGGTGAGCTAAAGAGGAGAGTGCACAAGAGAGGGCCCAGGATACTGGATGATCTAGAAAGATTTTGCAAAGAAGAATGGTCAAAGATCCCTCTCTCTGTGTTCTTCAATCTTGTGAAATGTTATAGGAGGAGATTAAGTGCTGTCTTGTTGGCAAAAGGGGTTGTACAAAGTATTAACATCAGGGGTGCCAATAATTGTGGGACACATGATTTGAAGTTTTTATTTTTTTAAATTTTAAATTTTTTTTTTACCACCAAAGTAATGTACTTAAATAAAAGGTTGGATTTTTCTCTTTTTTTGCATTTGGATTCTATGTTGTTTAAAAAAAAGGGAGAATTTTTAAAAGTCCTCGACCACATCTTAAACAGGGGTGCCAATAATTGTGGAGGGCACTGTATTTTGAATTGTTATATATGTATACAGTCCCTGACAAAAGTCTTGTCGCTTATCTATTTTGTAGAAACACCTGCTATTAACCTGACTTTTAATTAATCAATTGGTGTTAGAAATAGCTCATATGAAAAGCTAAAACCCTCCCAAATGATGTATAAATTAGTTTCACTGAAAAAAGATTTATCGTTTAAACAAGACAGAAAGGTCAAATTTTGGCAAGACAAAAGTTTTGTCGCCTATACAGAAACTGAACAAATTTACTGCAAATACAAAAATATGTATTTTTACAGAATAAATTGTATGAATCCTTGCCAAACCGCATGGATGCAGTCCTTCAAGCTCATGGAAGTCATACAAGATATTAAATTTGGATCTCACAGCACCACTATTTAATTTGCTGACATATTTTTGTATTTGCAGTTCATTTGTTCAGTTTCTGTATAGGCGACAAAACTTTTGTCTTGCCAAAATTTGACCTTTCTGTCTTGTTTAAACGATAAATCTTTTTTCAGTGAAACTAATTTATACATCATTTGGGAGGGTTTTAGCTTTTCATATGAGCTATTTCTAACACCAATTGATTAATTAAAAGTCAGGTTAATAGCAGGTGTTTCTACAAAATAGATAAGCGACAAGACTTTTGTCAGGGACTGTATACATATATAACAATTCAAAATACAGTGCCCTCCACAATTATTGGCACCCCTGTTTAAGATGTGGTCGAGGACTTTTAAAAATTCTCCCTTTTTTTTAAACAACATAGAATCCAAATGCAAAAAAAGAGAAAAATCCAACCTTTTATTTAAGTACATTACTTTGGTGGTAAAAAAAATGTAAAAATTTAGAAAAATAAAAACTTCAAATCCTGTGTCCCACAATTATTGGCACCCCTAACAATTCCGCTGAAAAATGTAATTGATTTTTAAAAAAAATATATTTTCTGTAGTTGCTAATGTTGGTCAGGATATCTAGGAATTTTTAATTAGTAATTCATGACTTCCTATTTCCCTGGGGTATAAATATGACATGACACAGAGGCCTAATTCTCTTACCCATTTGTCAACATGGCAAAGACAAGAGAACACACCATTCAAGTAAGGCAGATGTGTGATGACCTTTATAAGTCAGGCAATGGCTACAAGAAAATAGCCACTCACCTTATATTGCCCATATCTAAAGTTAGAGGAATCATTAAGAAGTTTAAAACAACAGGAACAGTGACAAACAAGGCTGAAAGAGGTCCCAAGTTTATCTTGCCACAACGCACTGTGAGGAGGATGCTAAGAAAAGTAAAAAAAAGTCCTAAGCTCACTGTCACAGAATTGCATCAAATAGTGGCATCTTGGGGTCACAAAATCTCCAAAACAACCATCAGACGCTCTCTACATGCCAACAAGATGTTTGGGAGGCATGCTAGGAAAAAGCCTTTTCTCACTAACACTGACAAACGTAAACGTCTGGAGTTTGCCAAGCGGCACTGGGACTTCATCTGGGATCGTGTGCTTTGGTCGGATGAGACTAAGATTGAGCTTTTTGGCAACAAACACTCTAAGTGGATCTGGTGTAAAACAAAAGATGTGTATGCCGAAAAGTACCTCATGCCCACCGTGAAGTATGGTGGAGGATCTGTGATGCTGTGGGCCTGTTTCTCTTCCAAAGGCCCTGGGAACCTTGCTAGGGTGCATGGCATTATGAACGCTTTGAAATACCAGGACATTTTAAATAAAAACCTGATGGCCTCTGCCAGAAAGCTGAAGATGGGTCGTCATTGGGTCTTTCAGCAGGATAATGATCCAAAACGTGTGGCAAAATCTACACAAAAATGGTTCAGTCACAAACTCAAGGTCCTCCCATGGCCATCTCAGTCCCCAGACCTCAATCCAATCGAAAACCTGTGGGGTGAGCTAAAGAGGAGAGTGCACAAGAGAGGGCCCAGGATACTGGATGATCTAGAAAGATTTTGCAAAGAAGAATGGTCAAAGATCCCTCTCTCTGTGTTCTTCAATCTTGTGAAATGTTATAGGAGGAGATTAAGTGCTGTCTTGTTGGCAAAAGGGGGTTGTACAAAGTATTAACATCAGGGGTGCCAATAATTGTGGGACACATGATTTGAAGTTTTTATTTTTTTAAATTTTAAATTTTTTTTTTACCACCAAAGTAATGTACTTAAATAAAAGGTTGGATTTTTCTCTTTTTTTGCATTTGGATTCTATGTTGTTTAAAAAAAAGGGAGAATTTTTAAAAGTCCTCGACCACATCTTAAACAGGGGTGCCAATAATTGTGGAGGGCACTGTATTTTGAATTGTTATATATGTATACAGTCCCTGACAAAAGTCTTGTCGCTTATCTATTTTGTAGAAACACCTGCTATTAACCTGACTTTTAATTAATCAATTGGTGTTAGAAATAGCTCATATGAAAAGCTAAAACCCTCCCAAATGATGTATAAATTAGTTTCACTGAAAAAAGATTTATCATTTAAACAAGACAGAAAGGTCAAATTTTGGCAAGACAAAAGTTTTGTCGCCTATACAGAAACTGAACAAATGAACTGCAAATACAAAAATATGTCAGCAAATTAAATAGTGGTGCTGTGAGATCCAAATTTAATATCTTGTATGACTTCCATGAGCTTGAAGGACTGCATCCATGCGGTTTGGCAAGGATTCATACAATTTATTCTGTAAAAATACATATTTTTGTATTTGCAGTAAATTTGTTCAGTTTCTGTATAGGCGACAAAACTTTTGTCTTGCCAAAATTTGACCTTTCTGTCTTGTTTAAACGATAAATCTTTTTTCAGTGAAACTAATTTATACATCATTTGGGAGGGTTTTAGCTTTTCATATGAGCTATTTCTAACACCAATTGATTAATTAAAAGTCAGGTTAATAGCAGGTGTTTCTACAAAACAGATAAGCGACAAGACTTTTGTCAGGGACTGTATTTATATAAAGTGTTCACAGGCAAATTTGCTTTATGTTTCGGTCTATATTGCTTTTATTTCCCCGGTGTCGAAATCATCCTGGCTGCATGTCAATATCCATGGATCACTGGATCTTTAGTAAGTTGTAAGGAACACAATATTGAGTCCAACATTTAGTTTAAATTGATACAATTGTTCGATTTAGTCGCATTTTCACAGTTTCCCCTATTAAATCCAGTCACGCAGCAGATCTTTAGCCACTCAGTCAGGCTGACGGGGGTTGTTCCGGCGGGAAAGTGACATCAATGCATTTCCTCTATATATAATACTATATAATCATAATACTGACATATTATATTCAAAAATATACATAATTATAAAACAAATGTTATTCTTTTTACTCATTCGTGAT